GGGGTAGATTTAGACTAGCTGTAAGGAAGAAATGTTTTACAATGAGGGTGGTGAAACACTGGCCCAGGTGGCCCAGAGAGGTGGTAGACGCCCCATCCCTGGAAACCTTCCAGGCCAGGTTGGACTGGGCTCTGAGCAACCTGACCCAGCTGAAGATGTCCCTGCTTACTGCAGGGGAGTTGGACTAGATGCCCCCTAAAGGTCCCTTCCAACTCGAAGCATTCTATGATTCTGTGATAATTAGAGTAGGCTCAAAGGCTGCTCTTACCATGGCTGGTTGTGGTGGTTCTGTTGGGATCCTTAGATCAGCTGTGCACCAGACCAGACAGCCTTGACATCTGCCTAAATACCACCTCTCTCCCCTTCCCACAATCCCTGTCCTGGTCACAAGATGATGTAGCATCCCCCTTTGAGGCTACTGGGACTGATATGACATTAGCAAAGTAACCAGGTTCTTCACTGACAATGTTTTCCGTATGCACCATCGTGTCCCAAAACCAACTTGTTTTGCTTATAAAATAGAATATAAAATTATATCTACTTTATATATAATTATTTTTGTGAGAATATTTAATCAATTTTCATTTAGTGGAAAGATATAATAACTTTTTACTCATTTTGATATAAACATCACAATTCTATGTGGTTAGACATACTCTTCGTACTGTAAGCATAGTACAAATATGTATTTATCTAATTTTGTGAACTAGTTACATCTAGTTGATGTGTTCAGGACACATTGTGAACTTGTGTTCAAGCAAATTATTGCTCCAACATTTTTACTTTAAACTCTAAGGAGAAAGGAAGTGCATTTTTATGGTAACATTTAATTTTTTTCCAAATTCCCATTAATTTGGCTTACTGGAAAGTGTTCATTATTATACCCAAACTTTTAATTACACGTCTCAGATGTGTACTTTTAATTAACTGATGACATTTTCTTTGTTCAATTATTGTAGTTCAATACAACTGTCATAAACTTATAAATTTTAATTAAAGCTACCCCAATCTCTAGCTATATGATGTTCACATAGGAATTTGCCAAAAGGCTTAGCAATGAGTAAACCAACAGCGAATAATCCCCAAATTGCCAGTGGGATTTGTTTAACAAATTAACATTTGTGTGCAGATAATGAGGTTCTACAACTTAACACATCCAGCAAAGATTTAGCACAATCATGTTTTAAAAAATGAGTAATACTCTGCAATTTACTTAATTAGTTATCACATTACTAATATATATTAGGTGGTGAAAGAGAACAGGATTTACACATTCACTAGAACACATACATTCACTAGAAGAGGATTTCATATTCTGCGTCGTTTTGTTTATATCAGAGTAAGATGAAAGGTTTGTTTTCAGGATAGCTCTTCCTCAGTTTTTGAGCCAGAAGCCAACAGTAAGGAAATTCCCTGACTCCTAGGGAAGCCTCCCAGCAGTGGGGACCCTGCAGGAGCTCATCTCCCTGTGAGGCTAAAATTACTGCTGTTCCCTAAACTTTCCAAAGAGTGTGCGTGCAGAATGACGCTTGTTAGATCGACTGCATCAAAACTGTTTGAATTGGATAATACACGACAACTGAAAAGGGCAGCTGGAGCTTCTAAGAAAGACAGAGTCAAGCAAGCTGAAATTATCACAGGTCATTTATACTTTGTGGATAGGATTTGGATTGGCACTCGCACACGTATGGCTTCTGCAACTTCCAGCGGAAAAAGATCCATCATTTTGAACAAAAATACATTTTTTTTAAAAACGAGAAAATTGGGAAAATATGTGCCACTTGATTGCATCAGTTTAGCAGGACAGTTTGATGAGACAATTGTATAATGGATGAAAAGTATAAATGCTGCTTTTTGAGGAAGTGCTTGTGACCACTGTAGGTGGTATGCACAGATAGCAACAGCACAGTAGAAGAAATTAAGATGATATTGAGCTGACTTGATTTTAAGATAGCAATTTTATACTTCCCAGAAATGTGAGAGAATTCTCTACCAAAGAAAAAAAAAGGCGTACCTATTGCTAGCAGACAGGTCAACCTGGTAGGACATAATATTTAACATCTAAACGCAATCTAATGCTCAAGTTTTACAATGATTAAGGAAAAACAGAGCAATTCCTGGTAATAAAGAACCTTTATATTCCTGTATGTTGCAACGTGCAAAAATAAAGTAACACATCCACTAATGACTCTCATATGATCCTGACAAAGTGGATCAACTCTGCCTTGAAGGCTGAGACAACGAGAAGGAAGTGAGTGACTGAACGCTGTTCTGGCCTGGATTTCACACCCTGAGTCCAAACTGGGAATGGCATATGCAGCCCCCAAAGCTAAATGTGCCCTCACTGATGCAATGACTGAATGACATGCGTTCCACAGCGGTATATTTGACTGGAAAGAGGAAATGGTTGCTGCAAAAGCACTTGAGGAATTAAGCTTTGTTGACTTAATTACAGTTTTCAATGCTTTTGGGGTCTCCAGTTTAGCTTCACTCTGTAAGGTACATAATGGTTTTAGTATATCACGGATTAGATTGAACTAGGATAAGGGGACATCTCACTGACATACTAGTTTGTTTCAGTAACACACAATTTATGGCCTGATATAGATAAGAAATGCAGTCTGATAAGAAACAGAGATTTACAGGGTCTGGGAGCTAGGCATGCAAGGAAGATGACATGCAGATCAATTTGAAATTTTTATCTGGAATAAGCTGGATGGAGTCACTTTGATTTAGAAAGATATACGGTCACTTTTCCACATCTCCAGCACCTGAAAGTTACGGCATAGGCTTCAAGGTATGGCTACACTCATGAACTGGAAATGGCAGATAGGAAATCTGGTTAATGTGAAATATGATTTTTAAAAACTCAATGAAACTGGAAAAGTGGACGTGGCATAGCAGAATAATATTTCTATTAGCAGGTATGCCCAGTAAGAGTCATCAGAACCAGCTCTGTGTCGGTCTTGGCTCATAAAGGCATGGTACATTTTGGCCATGTTGCAGTTAAAGGTCTGCATTCCCCAAAATCAGGCAATTGAATGATGAAACATGGACTATGGTGACATTCATGATGGCTCTCCTGGTGCATTTTTGGTACAGGCACATTATCCTGTTTAGATCAAGCAGGAATAAGACTAATGCCTACACCTCCAGGCCTTCTGCAGCAGCTGGGGCCATGATTAACAATTTAGCAGAAGTATTTTGTAGAATCTGCTCATCTCTCTCCTTTACTCACTAGTGACCAAACCTACTACACAACACTAATTATTTCAGCAAGGCTGAGAGATTTCAGAGGCTGGATTTAGCAGGGAAAAAAAAAATATCCAGGCGATAGCATAGCCATGTGAGCACAGCAAGTGTTAGCTGCCTGGTAAAGAAAACACAACCTACTGGAGGAGACTGAGCCCTATGGCAACTGCTAAAATAGAAGGATTAAATAAACCCGTGGGGTCTCTGCAGGATTCAGAACTGAGCTGAGTTCTAGGAGCCGAGTTATTAATTTTAGGAAGCCTTTTAACCCCACAAAAGTATCAACTAAATGCCAGGCATGTAAAGATGTGGGAGTAAACACCCTCTGTTCAGATGATGAGGAAGTTGTGCATGTCATTAAAATCACCAGTGACTGACTTTCATTCACTTGCTTGTCCTCGCTAAACATGTATTGATCTCAGTACATTGAGAAAAATCTCTGCTCATCATTTGTGCCACTATTTCCATCAGCTGTTAGAAGCAGTTTGAAGTATAATTAATCAACTTCAAGTAGTTAACATCACTAATAATGACTAAATATGAACAGCATTATTAACCCTCAAGTATTCAGGACCAAAAAAATCCTCTGTTTGGCACATAACAGATTGCGAGATTTGCAGTCGCCTGGATTTTCACCACCACATCTTGGTAAATAAGAGGAGGCTCCAGAGAAGCCAGGATAGTGAATGAAGCTAAATTGCTAAACTATATAAGCTGAAGTTAATTAGTAAGGAGTGCTGAGGAAAACATTGATATCTAAGCCCCCTCTGTCACAGAGACTAAGATATATAATTCTGCATTACAGGGAACGCTCTCTGTGCTAAACAGGCACAAACTCCTCTCCTGAAGTCAGGTACTGTACTTTGAACGACCAGGGTGTTGGTCATTTCATGGCATAGAAGAAAATGATTTGCAGCTGATAGGCTTCTGAGAAGAGATGAGACAGCAAACTCTTCTCCAGCTGTTCCTACTTTGAATCAAATATTTAAATATTCCTTGGAGCAGAAAAGAGAATTCAAGTCCTCCTTTCTCACATAATTACTAAATTTTAGACTACTTCTTATCACACTTTCCGTCTCTAGCCCAAACACTAATTGTGTCATACAAGCTACAACAGCCTACATGTTAGGGACAAAGATCAACTGCCAAATACCCATGTTTTGACACACAGGATAATCTCCCTGAAGATAGGAGATGTGATTTCAAAATTCTTCAGGAAAACAAAGGATCTGAATTCCGATCAACCAAATCTTCCTGAGAATTAGATGAGCAAAATGCCTACTTTTTGAATTCCAGTAAGACAAAGGTAGAAGATTGAGGTCACACAACTCTGTAATTTAAGGAAATCTCTCTGTGTATGCACCTAAAAATTTAGAGGCAGAACTGAGATCAAGAGAGAGCAAGATGCGTGGGGTTCTTCCAGATGTAGCTTGACTGGACCTTACACTTTACAATTCCATTTCTACACCTTGACATGTGCGTCTTTACCCTCAATACTTACTTCCATGCCCCCTTTTGTGGGACACAGCATAATTCTGCTAAAACACCCAGAGACGTGAACGAAAAGCACTATTGGTTACGTGGTATATGTATGGTATATACTGAAGTATTGCACAGAGTTTGAGTATGGACAAAGCAAACAAGTTACAGAGAGAAAAAAAACTATCACAGGCAAGGAATAAATGTAAACATTTAAATTAAGGCAGGTATAATTAATAGTAAAAATACAGCTGCTCAGAAGTATTTACCAAGGAGAGAGGCTCCGCAGGTCCCTCCGTTCTGGCAGTAATTGTAGCAATGGTTGGTTTCACACCTTTCGCCAGAGTAACTTGGCCAGCAGTGACATCGAGGATCTCCCTTCTCGTTTATAATGCACTTCCCTCCGTTTTCACAGGTTAATTTACAGGTACCATCTGCGGCAAGAGCACACACACAGAGCTGTTTTCAGCAATCCCATTTCATGTAATGGGCAACACAGAACCTCGCGTCTTACATAGAGCTTCAGATCCCTGCCAATGAGGAGGAAAAAAACCCCACTTTTCAAAACAGAGAAAATAAACTATTGCTTCTGTTTCCACAGTGCTAGAAAACAAAATACACACTTGGGAGAGCGTAAGCCCTCCCTGAGAGCTGCAGACTTGGCAGGGGGGGGGCCCCTGGGGCCTCTGCTTGGCAGTCACGCTTCGTCCAAATGATGCCACAGGAAAGTTGACCTCCTTAGGACGGACATTAGTAGGGGCAATATGGGTTCTTGCTTGAAACTATCATTCCTAGTTAGTTTGTGAAAAGAGAAAGTTGCTTTCACCTGGGGGAATCTCAGAAAACTTCCCTGTCATTTACTGGTGACCAAACCCTATCCAAAATATTTAGAAAAAAATTATTTACCCTTTAAATCTTCATAAGAAAATTTATGTCCGTGTACTAACTTGTTACTCCTAAATTATATTTTCTGGTTTATTCTTTTTCTCATCTGCTCAGTCTGTAATATCACTGAGAAGAGATGCTGCCCGCTGCTCTGCATTCACCGACTGCTTACGGCAGTCGCTCCACCGCCTTAGCGGACAGGTACGAGGTGACACAAAATCTGATTAGGCCAGATTCAATCTTTCTATAAAACTGTTTTTCAATTAGAGTTGTGCTTGCCTTGGAAACACTGAAAAATAAACCTCTATTTATTTCAGTGAACAAGATATAAAATCATTCAATGACACCAACGAGAAATTAATTATAGACTAGCACACATACAGTGCTCAAACATCCAAGTAATTGTGATCCTCAAGAAACAGACAAGCACCTTTCCAGCCCAAAGCACACTTTCAGCAATAAGACCTTTCATTTCTCATGCAGCAAAACAAATCCTGTGAAGCCAGACTGCTGCCTACCTAATCCAGCATTTGAACCTCCACGGCTTCTAACAAGAGGGATAGCACAGACACTGGGAACTCTTCAGCAGTATATCCAGCAGCTGCAGATGTTTTGCGGAATTATCTGTTTTAGTTAAACAGCTAATATGAAAAAGAGTCAAGGTTCCCATTTGTCCTACCGAGGCCTAGCGTTGACGGACACAGGCACACCAACCCCTTTTTTGACGTTTAAAGAAATACACTGCGCTCTAAGTGAAGAATTTAGGAATGACTGATATCCTCTAGCTGAATAGTTCTCTCCAGCACGGAGTCTGCAAAGTTCAGTAGCATAACTGTGCTTATGCAGCAGCCTTTTCTTTGGGTGCACCCAAGTCTCTCTTTCCTGCCCATATATGCCCCTCCCTGGCAGGGTCTGGCTGCCTCTGTTCACGGCCAGCGCTGAGATGGTGCAGAGATAACCTGGGATCAAACCTTTTTAAACAGAACTTCTGGGAACTGGTCATCTTTCAGGCAATCGCACCTATCTCAAATTAAGCTGAAACTAGACAACAAATCTAGAAGTTATTATGGGGGACTGACTGGCGCATCATTATTTCAGGTGTTTACAATAGAAAATATGAAATAACACATGCTCTTAATTTTTTGGTATCCCCCCTGGATATATACATCTGCTGTAACAAAGCTACTTTGTATTTGGGAGTTTGAGGATGCCTCGGTGTTTTATTTATTTGGGTGGTTCATTAAATCCTTTGATGTTCCATGAACCGTTCTTCAGTTACTCATTACAGAAGTTGTTTAAATGGATAATGTAGCATATCTTATTGGAGAGAAGGTCTATTTTTGTTTTGCTTATCTTATCTGTTTTACTTATCATTAGTCATGAGTTTATAGAGCAGAACTTGGTAAAAACAGAATAAATAACACTGAAGTAGAGATAAGTGCTCATTTTTATGAACCTTTCTGATAGCACATTAAAAGCATGGTATATATATCTTCTAGAGCAATTCTGCAGAATTAAGATGTAAAATTTGAAAAAAAAAGTTAAGACAGACTATGAATTCAAGAGAAAAATAAAGTAGCAAAAGGCATATTTAGAACCATAAAACGTGAACTACGGATGTGAAAGTTACTCTAATCACACCAAGAAATACATGTCTTCATATTTTCAGGAAAATGTACTGAGCCACAAATTGCCCACAATAAAGATTTTCTAATCCAATTGGCTTTCAAAGATTGGTACACTCACGTCTTACACTTTTAAAATGCAATATATGTTATAACTTTATGCAATGGTCAACTCAGAAGATTCCTGAAAAAACACAGAAGTTTGTAATAGTTTGTCTCACCATAGGATTATTAAAATTCACTACTGATTTTGTTCTCTATAAAACATTTTAAATTCAAGAGTTTCAACACAAATCTAATATGAAACAGAGAAAAGTTACTACAACAATTTTGGACATTAAATAAGTTAAGAAATGGGATTGAAAGATGTAATGGATAAGACAGTTTTAAAACACTGTGTTAAGAGTTTAACAATATGAGGGGTTTAATGCTGCTGCTTTGTTGTCTGAAGGTAGATACAAGAATCAAATTACTCTTGCTGATTCACATCAACTGACTACAAAAGGGGATCAGATGCCTTTGTGTGGGAGACAGGAGCAGAACAGCCCCATAGGAGAAGATAGGAAGAAAAAGAATAGAGGAAAGCAACACAGAATCGTTATAAAAAGCTGAATACTCTTAATTTGAATTACTGAATAAAGATCTCTGAAAGAAGAGCTGGGAACAGCTCTAGTAAGTACTCGCTATTGGAACAAAGTTTAAAAAAAAAACCCAAAACAGAACAGAAAAGTTTCTATCTGCAGCCAGTTCAATGCTGGTTGCTGGCACTCTTTTATATTTTCTCTCCTAGCCTGGTTATTTAGTCTTCTGCTGCCTTCATTTGCCTATTTCAATCTTAAGATAACTTTAACAAAGAATCAAATAACTTTGTTTTGCAGTTTTTCTTGTGTTTTTCTTCCTGATATGACTGTTTGACACAAACATTAATGGACTCATGGCTTATTTACTTCATCTTTGACTCTTTCCTTTAGCTGAAAGTAAAAGGAAAAGCTTACACAGAATAAACACTGATAAAGCAGCAAAACAAAGCTTTGTAAACTCTACTGGTATTTTTTGCTTCACTTCTTCAATTTTTTGATGTTCCATCCCTCTCCCCCAGTCACACACACATACACATCCCCTCTCGGCATTGCTATAACAACCCTTTCTTTCTTGAGAAAAATGCATCGTACTTTTTGCTGTTTTTTTCCCTTTGAAATATCCACTGAATTCTGGACGAGGCAGTTAAATGGAGGGAGGTCGCTATGGAGCACAAGGTTAATGAACTACGTTCTTTGGGACAAGAACAATTTCCCTCCCCACAGCGGAAAACACTCATGGGGCAGAAACATATTTCTTCTTGCCTATCCTTCAGAGGAGAGAGTAGCTCATCCTTACACCGAGCTGAATGCACCTATTAAAGACAGAGTGCAGGTTTCTAATGTTACGGTAAGGTTGTATAAATCTTTCTGTCCCTCCAGATGAGGGTCTTACGATCTGCCCATTTTCCATATGCTGAAATTTATCAGAACAAGCTGTAAACCCCGAATTTGGTCTGAATGCTGTTAAGACAGATCCTCCTCTGTTTTCCCTTCGCATTTTCTTTTAAAAATCTGTTTGCTTTACAATTTTAAATGGAAGAGAAGGGCTAAGAAAAGGATGCACAGTGACAAAAAACTAACTGACACCTACTGTAACGTAGCCCATTATCTTCTGTTCTGGGCAATACGGGTCCCAACGGTAACCCCTTTGTTAGACACAGAGGATGCTGCTGTAAACAAAAGGCTTTTTTCAAACCAGAACCAGAACAGGGGTCACACAGAAATCTATTTGATATCCAAAAAGACTGAAAGCAGGACAAAACCAAAGAAGATCGCACGGATTGAACTGCCATAGCTTTTGCTAGTACAGCTCCCTGCGGCAGACTTTGTGGGTGAAAAAGGTGGTGTATTGGGATTAACCTCTACATCCCCAGCCAAAGCACTTTGCCTGCAATCTTTGTGTGCAGTGGGCAATTCCCCACAGAAACGCGCTGGAGGAAACACCATGATGAATTAAATGTTTCATCTCTGTCCAGAAGCAATGCCAGATTTGAGTCTTCGTAATTTTTCTCAGGCTTTTCATCCAGCCAAGAGAGCACAAATATTCCCTTCTTAAAATGAAAGTGATAAACATGCAGCTCCAGAATACGGAACTCTTGGAAGTGTTCATTACTCTTGCTCATTCAGCTGTGGCACACACTGTCTTCCTCCAGTGCAAGTCTCTGCATTTTCATCCTCTTGGTACATCTTTAGCTTCGTTGTGCTACAGACAATTAAATACAATAAACCTAATGGATGCAAATCCAGTGGTCTCTTTTAGGGAAATGAAGTGGTACACTATCCATTGGAAAACTAAAGGGGAGCTTCTAAACTGAAGAAGTCAGGCTTGCTATCGTCAATAAATAAACCACTAAAGAACTGTGCTCTGTCAATCATAATCATCTAGGGAGAAATGAGATGGAAGCTTATCTAAGAACACTTGGGAACCCACTTTAATTTTGTTATAAAAACATTCTGAATGATACAACACACATATGTTGTAATAACTCTGGCTTGAAAAAGCCAAATCAAACCCAAAAGCTGTTTCTCATCAGTTCTGTGAGATGCTGGTGAAACAGCCGTCTGAAACAATCTGGATTCAGTCTTACAGAAAGCCACTGAGGATTCAATATTTAGAATCCCTCACTTAGGACTTATGAAGAAAAATCAATTCAATGGATCAAGCCCGTAGCAATATTATGCAGAACTTCAAGACTTACCTCAATTTTCTTTTGTTAAAAAAAAAAGCAAACTCAAAACAATCCAATGAACCAGAATCTGAATCAGTTTTTTGGATAAAGTCACAAGAAACAGAGCAAGACTGAGATTACCTCCCAGTCGCCAAACTTAAGGTAGACTGACTAATAAGAAATTGTACAAAGTGTGCAAGGTGTCCTTACAACAGTCATGCCAAAAACTACCAAAATGAAGAATGGCATAATATTAATGTTGCAAATAATAATTATTTGTTGGAAGGCATTTTTCACAAGGATAGAGACATGTGCACTGTCAAAACAGAATCTTCAAACACAGACTCCCCTTTTCAAGATAGGGGCACTATTCAAGATAGATGGGAACTGGAGATGGCTGTCCCATTTTGGCTCTGTCAAGTTGAGAAATTCTAATACTAGCTTCCTTACTATGTTTTAAAGACCCAAAACACTTAAAGATACTAAAAAGTATTATGAACTTTCCATATACTACTGTTTGCTATTGTAACTTGAATTACATATTATTCAAAAAGTACAGTTTAGTCACGTTAGTTCTTGATGTCTACAATTACTACTAATTTGTGAAACTAAGACACTTCTTACATGACTTCAAATAGCCACTGAGCAAGTACAGAACAACCAGTACACCTCACTTCTATTGCTACATGAATGACACCCACTAAAAGAGACTTAAAGATATGAATTTTCAGGTCTGTAAGTTACTGGTAGTGTATTTTTGAGCACATAAAATACAATGCATGTAATTCATTGTACCCTATCTACAGTACAACTATTGCACTGTGATCAAGCCAGCAACAAAACCAAATGAATACATCAGTTAAAGTGTTTCACAGATACTAATGTCTCAAATTAAAATCTTCCGGCTCTCCTTCTTTTAGGGAAAAAACAGAAGACCACCAAAATCAACAGCAATATTTCAAATGACTTTGAATCAGGATTGTATTGCGGACCAACAAAAAATATGACTATGTAACCTCCCTTTGCATTAATGTCAGGTCACTCTTCTACAATATACAGACATGTAAGGCAGGAATTGTTGGTTTGGGTTATTTACATCCAAAACTATGCCAAAAATGCTCTGAGACAACAAAGAGAATATAATGCTAGACTTAAACAAGTTGAATGTATGCGGTTTGGAATTATTTATACACATTTCCTAGATCTTCATCAGAAAAGGAAAGGAAGATAACAGCTCCTATTTTTTTTTATTCCATACTGTATAACTTCTTGAAGGAAAAGAACATGGTTTAGAACTTGTCATTTGTTTGCAGGCTATTAGTGACCTATCAATGGCAAGTGGGTTGTCAGCCAACCATTAATTATAAACCTGTATTAATTCAAGATGTTGATCTTAAGGTCAACTCTGATCTTTCCAGGAATCTCTGTTGATCCTTGGAAGCCTAAGTGGAGTGTCAGCTTGAGACAAACATTTACCATCCCCTTCATACTTTTTAAAAGAGTCGTAACAGTGCAAAACCACACACACTTGTTAGTGTGCTATTATACTGAGGCTTGTTTCAATTCATAATTTATAATCTGTGAGACTACAAAACCTGCGATCTACTATTACAAAAATAACATACGAGAAAAAATAACATACGAGAAAAAAAGCCTATGCTAGACATTACTGGGAATATAATTGTAATCAGAAAACTAAGAAACACTTATTCAGCAACCCTTTAAAAAAGCGTAACAGATATTGCAGTTGTGGGAAGATACTGAAAATTATCAATATATTAAAAATGCTTCTCTAGGCATTTTCTGTCTATCCATAAAAATTTACAACCGGCAGTGAAATAATTTAAAAGCCTCTTCATATCTTTCTCTAATAAAAACATACGTTCCTAAAAACTCTACCATGGCATAATCCTTTTTCCCACTAGTTAAACTGTAGCATTACTGAAATTACAGGTTCAGATTACTACCAATCACCAGTGAAAACCAATATTCTTTTATTTGTCCTTTCTTCAACACCTAAGTGGTAACTATGGGTCATTTGAAATAATTTTTAGGTGGTACTGTATCAGTAAAAAGTCTTGACGAGTATCCCTCTCAGATGAAGAAAGAGATGACACTGGAGGGGCAGGGGGGATGGATGCTTTCTGAAGACAAAGGGTGCTCAGTGATTTGTCTCAAGACTTAGAAACCTTGTACAGTATACTAATGTTTTGTACTACGTTTACTTTAGTGACGTCACTTCTCCCCAACAGTGGAAATTGTTGTAAAACAGCTGTAAACTCCTTTATAGTTGTATAACTACTATATAAGATACACATTGATAGGTGTTCAGCCAAGGGTGTACAGTAATAAAGCTTTAATTTACTGTATTTTTGCATATCAAAGTTGGATCTGTAAATACATGGCACACAACGTACTCCTACAGAAGCAAAAAACACGAATGAGTTTGTTATATAGGACAAGTTTTCTAATTTGTTTTTACTCTCTGAATTATTAAATTTCTTGATACAGAAAGAGAAATGCTGCTAGACAGGATAGCTTTATTAATACCACATCATAAACCACTAAAACACAGTTGTGCTAATTCAGTATTTAAAAACTAGGCAGTATAAACAAGTGAGATTTTCTCCACAGAATGATGATATTCCAGGTAAACTAATTTAATTGCTAAATTGAGCATTTTAAGTACTGAGGATCTCACCAAAATATGTATCACTTGCACTTCTGAGCCTGGAATTAAACATTACAAAAACATCCTCATGCATTCTGACTTCTCATACACATAAGAAATCCTGTTCTATGATTTCTACAACCTTTTAAAATTCAAGCTGGCTTGAATTCTTTCCAGCAGCCTGACCACCTTAGGTTTGGCCTCACTTAGAGCGGGAATAGTTTTAGAGTACCTAATTACATTCTTCTATGGAAAAGACTACTTTTTTCCCCTCTAAAATATAGCAAGAACACAGTAGCTCTTCTACCATGAAGTCTGGTTTCCTGTGTCTTGATATTAGTCATTATAGACATTACTGTAAGATATTATTTTAGATAACAATATTTCAGTTGTTTTTCCCTTTTTGCCTGTTACTTCAAAGTCATTATTACTTGCTATGTTCCTTTCACTGCCTTTTGACTACTGCTGCAGTCTCAAGCAGAGGTGTTTCTTAATGGTCTTCAAGGTTATTTTTTTGCCCTGAATGGCTAAAGTTTAATTTGGAATCCAAAATGCCTCAGAGCTTTTCAAACTTCTTTTGGTCAATACATATACACATTCACTTTTTATTATCATCTGGAATCAGTTCAGCTGAAAGCTCACTTTTCATTTTGATGAATATAAACAGTCTTTTTGAGTCAGTGATTTTGCCCCTTCATATTTCATTTCCATTTTAGAGAAGTAATATGTTTATAGAACAACATCACAAGATTCTTGACTCACAGACAGTCTAGCCTTTTGCAATGACAAAAACTGACCACTCATTTATTTACTGTTTCCCATGCAGTTCTCAATACCTACCTAAGAGGCTCTGATCAATGCATGTTCCGTTCACCAATGATTTTCCTTCTGGACAAGCACATGTTGCACCAGAAGGGTTCAGTAAACAAATGAATTCACATGTCAGGTCCAAGCACGGATTAGGCACTGTTAAAAAGACAAAATATTAAAAATTTTGAATTTTTTTTTTTAGAATTACACCATGTTCTAGAACTAGAGAAAAAAAAAATCAGATATAAAAATTCTGATATACTTCCAGTTTTCAGGATAACAAGAGCCTGAAGTCAGTGAACACATTCACTCAAATGGCAGTGCAGGACTCACACCAGGATAGAATTTATTCCAGTAACAAAAAATGTATTGGTAATATGCAGTAAAAATATTCATCTGGTTGTGGCTAGAGGTGTTTGTATTCATCGCTCTTCTAATTTTTTTTATAACTCGTTTACAGTGCAGGTACACAAGGCAAGCATTTGTCCAATGTCCTTTCAAATTAGAGAAAACGCTTCAAAAAAATCTAAATCAAACTTATATAAAGAAATGTGACTAAACCTATTTCAATCAGGCTCTGTTTTATGTTCATACAACTTTGTTACTTTATTTTTTTCCCCTGAGGTGAACTTGCTCAATATTGAGTTTAAAGTAATTATGCTTACTCACAGTCCATTTGTTTGTAGCGGTGAAAAATCAAGGCACTTTTTGCTTTATCAACATCCACACTTAGATATTCTACAAGGCTCCTGCCAAATTTGTGTACTTTAAATGCACCATTTTTAGGACCCGCTCCATATATGTAATCCTCAAAAATGTCAATTCTATGTGGATGCAGTAAACCTTAAACAAAAATCAAGAATAAATACAAATGCATATTAATATTCAATTAATAAAAAACTTTGTTTTAATAATGACTTTGATTGCATTATTGCAATTGACACCTAAAGACATTATTATTCAGTTTGTTGTGTACCCACAAAGACTGCCTTTAAAAAAGCAATCTTAAAAGGAACTCTTCCCATACTACAAGCAACTAAAATCTCAAGCTTTGTATTAGCCTTCCACAGAATTCAGCCTCAGAAACTGGCTGATTATTGAAAAGTAGAGTAACAACTAGCTAATTAGAAGATACTTAGGTACAACGCTTCAACTAGAAGCATGTGACAGGGAAGAAATAGATTATTTTGCTGCACATAAAAGAAACTCTTCTGACAAAACATTTCTTCAGCTCCTTTTTAACACATTTGAAATGCTAGCTTTCATACTACGTTTATTTTAATTCATAATCATAGTAAATTAATGCAATATAAAATGTTAAGACTCTACCAGTTCCTCATTTTTAAGAGCTATGAATGTTGATTAGATCTTATAGTTGGATTTCCTATGCACAACTGGCTGTAGAATTTCACACATTTACCCACAGAACAAGGCAATATCTTCTGACAAAAACTTCTTTGCTAGAGGTGCATCTCTTCTCATTTTGAAGTCATAAAGACAGAATCTATCATTCCTTGTGATACCTTGTTCCTACTATTATCCCCATTTACTGTAAAAAAGGTTTTGTATTTCACCTGTATTTATTTATTTTCAATTATCAGCCTTTATTTGTTCCTACTGTTTTTCCACTCTATCAATACTTGGTACTCAGTTTTTTTATTTCAATAAAAAGACTTATGAATTCTAATTCATTATTTCATGCCTGTTTAATTAAATGGGCTGCAGTTTTTAGTCTTATTGCAAAGCAATTTCTAAACTCCCCCAATTTTCCTTTGGTCCTATTTCTCTAATTTTTCCATAGTTACTCCAAATGTCAACAGGAGACAAAAGGTGACACTGCGTTAGTGATCTTGTATTTCAGTATTAAATGCAATGTATGCAAGCAACAAAGTCTCTACATTCCACTTTCCCCTGTATAAACTGCAAATTTGCTGTGTTTGGCAGTGTAGTATAGCCCATATTCCATGCTATAAAATATTTTGAAAGTCATCAATTTACATGCCTTCTATTCTGTAGCACTGTTGTGTCTTTTTTTTCCCCCCTTGAAGAATAATCTCACATTTATTCTTAAAAGACAAATGACTATTGAGACACCTTAAAACACAATCTAGGATACTCTGTCAGTCCTCATACCAGCCACAGGCACTGAGCACAAGCACTAAGTATGTATTTTGTGATAGATTACAGCATAGTCACCATGAAAAGCAGTAACTGAAGGAGCTGCAAGTAAAGTTCTGAGGAGGAGTTACTGTCTTCCAAAATCTCTTGTCTGACATCTGCACGGTATGGTTCAGTGCTACAGGAGGTTGTAGTCAGATGCCTACACTCAAAGTCATCCTTCTTCAGAGGACTACTTCCATGTATACTGAGCCAAGTTGTGAAATAAAATGTTATTAAACCAAAAAAAGATGATTTAAATCTGGTCCTGCTCAATTTGGATTATGGGAGATTTTTCCTAGTATCTTCCAGAACTCCCTGGTGACTTCCAGATCATCGGTTAAAACACTCAGCAGCACTAGATGTAATATCTTCCTGATAAAACTCCAATACCAGCTGTCCACTAAGCAATCCCCACAAAAGGCCTGCTTTCAAATTTTTAATTTTTTTTAATGTTTCCTCTCTTTTCTACTCAAATTTCATAAGTTGTTGCATATATTATCAAATTGTTAAAAAGCCAACATATGATTTAGATATAAAAAAAGTTTGCTTAACCAGAATCTCTTTTCTTATGAAAGGAACCTTCCTCATTCACATTCTGTTAGCAGAATTCTGTGATTACTTACCGACCTGAAAGCCAAACCTATTATTTTTCCCAGAACTGATTCAGGTCAACGGTTCTATAAACTATACAATTCCTGTGCCATGCCGACAGCTCTAATTTCTAACAAGTGAAGGTGCTCCTGTTGCTATGAAAGTCCAAGTGAGGCCAAGCATAAATATTAATCACAGTGTCATTTGATAATACCTAAGCTAATGATTAGGTAACAAACTTGGAGATTTGCACGTATCACTGAATCTTTGTTCCCCTGAAGTAACTTTATCAGATTATCTTAAAAGTATCTTAGCTTTTTATCTCTAGCTTAAATAACTATTTGTTTAGATAATACATGAAGTATCTAAGAAAAGCAATGAATATTACATAATAATCACTGCTTTTTGCTTGCATAGTTTCTCTGAATAGTGAAACTTCAGTAAATAAAACAGAAATTACATTATACAAAAGTTCTCCATACCTTGTTTAGTGCTCACAGACACAACTGAATCGGAACCATCAAAAAGAACACTGCCAATAACAGATAGTTCAAAATCAGCCCAGAACAAACGCTGGCTGAATTGATCAACTACGAGACCTACGAAGAAAATAAAGTTCAAATAGCAATATCAAAACTAAAAAAAAAAAGGTAAAACATTTATGTAACTGTACATTTTTATATTGTTCATATTCTTGTGAACCCAAAATATGGTGACAATGAAAAAACGTGCCTGCAAACCAAGGAGAATAAAATAGAACACCTTCCGCTTAAACCTTCCCCTCGAGGCAACCATGGTTTTTTACTTTCTTCAACTTAGGCTTCCAGGGTCCGTACCTTTCCAAACCCATTATCCTCAGCAGGTAGTGGTATATACCAGGTGGGAATTAAATATAGAATCTAATCCTGTAATTTGTTCTACCAACAAAAAATCTATTATGTTAATAGATTTCTAAGCTGTAGCACCAGTGTGACCACGCATTAGAAAAACAGCATTCCGATTTCATAGAGTCTTCCTAATCTGTCCTGTTTTCACAGGTACATAAATGTGGGGTGTTTTTAATCATCAATACTTCACATGCAATCATTATTACAGAATTAAAAATCACATTATTTTAACTACATTAGTGCTGCAAGACAGCAACGTTGACAGAAGTATATATTCACATATATATGGAAAAAAGCACAAGAGTGAGTGACTGAGAGCAGAAATGAGAATAAAAGCTAGATAACATTGTGACTACCCAGCCTCTAGGCAATAACTAAATAGTTAAATCAAGCAGTCCATGTTTCATAGAGGATGATTAAATGATTAATATGCCATTTTAGATCATGTCCAAAGCTTCAGCCTGAAAAAAAATATTTGAACCATAAAATAATTTAAGTCTGAGCTTTTGAAGTTGCAGTGTATTTTTAATAAGAATGGGGAAAAGTATTTTTCTTCCTATTTATGTAAGTAGGTAAGTCAGAAAAAAAAATACATCAAAAGAAATTATACATAACATCAAAAATTCTCCTCTTAAGGTCATAAATTAATCAGCTACAGATAGATGAGAGGAAGTAGAGGGAGACTGATGCAGAGCCCAGTGAAATATGTTTACATTTGCACTTCCATTTAAAGAACCTCTTTAAAAGAAACACTGGTAATTCAGGCATACAGCTAAAGCGAATCATTTCTGGTAAAAGATAATGACAATGTGTCAACCCAGTGTGATGCAAGGTACCTGCAAGGGGGAATATTTTAGAAGCAGTCCCCAGTCTCCAGCTTTTTAATAAGAATATTTAAATATCAAATAATAAATGAATAATATTCTCAATGTATCTTTCACAGTATCAGAGATAACACAATGTTTAAAAAGCACTTATTTTTGTTTTGTACATAGAGCACTCCTGCGAGAGTCATTTTTACATAAATCCTGTGAAGTCAAGCCCAAATGCTCAAACTCCTACTCTGTCCTACTTGAAATAGGCAAGGCATATTTAGCAATAAATTTAAGGCAGTGGAACACAGATGTTTAGTAAAATCTTAAACTTCATCTAAACAATAGTAGTAAAGTCTTATTTGGGAAGAAATAGTAAAAGCTTGGACTCTTCCTTTGCATCCCCTCTGCAAAGACATGGATCTGTGTGAAATATCTGACAAAAAATTAGAAGTCTCCATAAATGCCTGCTCTCTACCATGAAGGAAAAGAAGAGAAGCCCAGAAGGTTGCCACAAATGTTTTCAGGCAGTAGGTACAGGAAAATGCAATAGCGTAGCAAGGCATTTGTGAAATTCCCTCTTTGCAAAATCTGCTCATTTTTGGTTATTTTGCCAGTTTTCTTAATTTTTATTTTATTCATCCTTTAAGGAGACAGAGATTTGGTTAAATATTTATATTAAAATTTTCTATATAAAATATGTCGAAGAACATTTTATGAAGAAAAGCTCTCAGCTCTTGCAGTTCTGCTTCTGGTCAGTGAAGAAGTAAATACTTGCATTTTCAGATCAGTTTGATACCATTACTACCTAAAATTCAGTAAATTCACTAATGCAATACTGATGGCAAAAAATGATGCACTAATGCAATACTGATGGCGGGATTAAATGACCTTTAATGACCAAGGAAGTGGTGCCTGGCTCCGTAGGACACAACCTTGGCAATCAACCAGACAGATAATAAGAAACAAAAAAATTCCAGCAATTAGAACTAAATCTAATGATTTGTGTATCTGATATGTTCACAATGTTTTATATAAGAAGTTGTTTAGCAAAGAATATGTAACAACGCTGATAAACATAAAATTCTGTTGCCTTTCAGTCTGAATAATCAGAAGCTTCTTACTGAATTTACTATTGACTACTTATTTTTTATTATTATTGCTAGTCTAACAATATTACCTAAGGAGCATAAATTTCCACTCCTCAAAGCTTTCCTTATCACATATGTAATTTCTTAAATTGCTATATTTCAATCTAGTCATGTCAATAAAGTGTTTCCTTTAAGGGATGAGTGTAACTTGCATATGCAACACCATAAGCCCACCTTAGCATGGGACTTAACAGTCTGTTAAAAATATTATTCCTTGTTGCTGCGATAGTGGCAGCTTCTGAGATGCTTAGGTATTCAGATGGCATCCTCTTAAAAGAAGCCTATATTTCAACAGATATGCGTACCAAAGTTGGACAACCCCTAATTTGCAATGCAATAAAAACAAATTATCATTGTAATCCTGGAGAAACATCAAATATTGCATGAGAAAATGGGTCACGAACAAATCATTTGTGGTTTCAAGACAGGATGCTGCTATTTAAGAGAAGCACATTTCATTCTGGATTTATCATTTCCTTTGTCATAAAAATTACTTTTATCCTGCCAATGGAGTCTTAATGGTAATTCACAAGATCTCAACATGTACTGTCAAGCCTCAAAATAGTTCTGTAAAATACTGAGATAATTAAGTCATTACTACTTTGAATACCTAAGCCTTGTTTTACATTATTTTGCAGTGTATGCAGGAAAATAACTAGAATAGGCTGTGAGATGTCATATGCATTCTTAAAAAATGTGTCTCACCACTAACTGGTGTTTCCTTAATTGATTTTGCTTGTTCATTGTTACTGAATAAATCATATTTTAACTGATTATATATAGTCCTTTGGTACTGCTTTGTAAAATCATCATGCTAAGCTTTGTTACAAAAGTTTAAGTCATACTAAGATGTATCATTTGAAAAATTAAGAATTTGATTAGTAACTGCATATGAATAACCAGAACACATATTTTAAAAAAGTGTAGTTTGTTTTTTTGCAAACTGAGAAATTGGAATTCAGCCAGCAAATCTACACTGAGTTAGCAAGTGCTGTGTAATTAGGAAGAGTGGATAAGCTGTATACCTGTGGGTCTTTGTAAATTCTTTTGAACCAATATCCTTCTCAGAGTACCATCCATAGATGACTCCTCTATGTGAGAACGATCCCCAATAACTGTCCAGTACATCATCCTAAAAGTATTAAACATAAAACAAATAAGCTGGATGACTACACAGAACCTCAAAACAATTCACTGATATTAAATTATTATGAGCCTTATATTAAATTATTATGAGCCTTTTAACCTACCTGAAAGACAGGAGATAACTGATCCTGATTTACATACAGGTAAATTGAGCAGGAAAGTTAAGTAAATGATTTGGAAAAGTTTAGACATTTTTAGGCATCATTTTCTTTCTCTTATGCTACTTTGCATTTTTGTTCAAATTGCCAAAACAGAGTAATGTTGAAACATACGTACCCCCTTTTAGGATTTACGGCAATTGCATATGGTTCTCCTGCCATGCTTGTAAGGAGCCTTGTGCAGTTAGGTCCATTCAACTGGCCTACATTGATGGAGTATCTCAGACTTGTCCAATGAGTTGTATAGTAGCTGAACCAATGCATTCTGGAATGATCAGTCCAGTAAATATTTCTGGCAACCCAGTCAACGGCAATGCCCCTAGGTCTTTTGAATTCTGGACACTAAAAGGAACAGACGGAGAAGTCAGACCTACAGAAATTATCTTTCACAGCAGCTGCATAGTCACAGATTTATGTAACTTTTTACAGTTAAGTAACTTTTACCTTTAACATGGTGAAATATTTAAAAACATTGGAAAGACAACATAAATTCCACCTGTAGGAGATAAGTTCTAAGTGATCTGCTGACAGTTCTATTCAATGCTGAAAAACAAGTCAATGGTTCAAAACTGTTTTCTCAAGTCTAAGGCTACCTACATTAAGAAAAAGGCACTTAGGCATGAATTACTTGAACCGTTGATACGGAAGCAAATAAATGTTACATACTGTAATTCAAAAGGAAAGGAAAAGGAAGAATTAGGATTATACAGATATTATACTCCATGCAGAACTATGCTATGTTGTCCCATCCTAAAGCCCTCAGTGAAAATTGTGCTTGAGATCATCCTGAGGTATGGCTGCTCAGCAGTCTACCAAAGATAAATAAAATCACTGCACTTAGAAAACTGCATAAAATTACCTCTGTATTCTGACCAATACTAGTATGCATTTGTAAGAAAATTTTTAAAATGTTTCTCTTCCCTTGCTGTTAACTGTTCCTGTTTCCACCGCTGATTAAAACTAAAGTTACTGCAATGTTCAGCTTCACATGTAGAAGAGGCTTGACTGATTATAACTTTAAAATTACAAAATGTAGTATCTCTGTCATGATTTCAGTTACTATTAATGCCTAGATCCTAAAAAATGGTCCAAAGGATAGAAGCTCATGTTGCAAATAGGAGATATATATGAACAAGTTTCTCTAAAGTTTACTAGAATTCCTGGAGAGACAAGTCAAATCTGTAAAACAGGACTACCCAACTATTTCTAACATGAATGCAGCATATCATAAAAAATTCAAGACCCGCATGAGCTAAATATATATGCCATTGTTTGCCTGTTTACCTATAATGACATCAAGTTAAATTATGAAAAAAAAAAATTCTATTCCTTGTAGTGCAGTAATGGAATGCTACTAAGCTATGCAACTAAAAATCAGGAAAAAAAGTCCTAAAATAACTTGCTTTCCTCAGGTGTCAGAGTTCCCTAATACCACAAGGCATTTGTAGACTATTTTCATCATAAAATAAAGGTCATTTCATTCTGTAGGTGAAATAATAGGACTGCCAGGGTGAACTTAGATAGTTCATTGTTCATAAACCTTTAATTCTGTAAAAATGTCATAGAATGAATGTTCTCAAGATACAGAGAATCCTGACTTTCTACTTAGATGAGTATTAAAGCAGCAAAATCAATCACTGCATTTACAAAACAGTATTCCTTTAAAAACAGGGTCACAGTCATTTTTTGAAAGTTAAACAAAATAATGTATCAGAATTCTTTGTTATGAAATGATGATACTGGTAGCATATGCTTCCAGAAATACCACAAAAATAAACTTTTTTTTTTTTCAATAAATGTAGTATTTGCGTGCAACAGCCTTTTTTTTTTTTTTTTTTCTTTGTTACATTATCCAAGCAACAGTCATGTAAAGGACAAGATATCAAAAAATGTGGGTATTTGCAGATAAGCGTCACTGTACTTTTAATCCAAACTCTTAATTCTGGGTAATATTCAGGAACCTGTGTCAAGAAGCCTCTCATACCTGGAGATCTCCAGTTACTACTCTGGAGACTGCAAGGGCTAATGGCACTGGCCTACAAGGCTGGAACCAAATATTCTTCTAAAAGGAGAGCAGCTATCATGGACAACACAGTCCGTTGCCTTGTGTTGCGCTGTTCAAGAACCACTGTTTCCAGTAAGACAGCTTTTTTTTGGGACCTGGTAAGCACATGATGGGAGTTATCATGCAGTGTGAGAGATGGTTCCCAAAAAGCTGGTAGTAGAAGCGGATGAGACAAAGGAATATCCTAAAAAGATTCTGGAACAAGGTTGGGTTGCTTACTAACACTGACCCTTTCTCATTCTTCTCAACTATACAGAAGTGAAATTCCAGTAATGCTGGGGTGCATATTAAAGACCAAATGAACAAGGAGATAATCAGAAGAAATGGAAAGCAGCCATCTGGTGTAAGAGATTAAAAAGAAGAGAATAAAAAACACTAGCTGATGTTACAGCCATGTAATTCTCAGTTATGTTCATTAAGTTTCAGTCTAGCTACATCATATTTCTGATGTCCTATGCATCTTCTCATACTGTTTAGGAAAATTACTTACTGTAAATGAGCTTTTATCTAATAGCTTATTTGTATTATGTTAATTTTAAAGAACATTTTTGCATACAGAATAGGGATGAAAATACAGGAACAAAATCACATTAATATTTTCTACAGTTAAATTGGCCCACTTTGATGCTAAGTATAACATACTATGACTTATTAGAAAAATTGAAGCCTAATCGCCTTCTATAGTACGGTAGTCTGCGCATCTACAGGCCACGTCAGCTTGATGACTTTTGATCAGAATTGCTGTTGTAAAATCTGTTTTAAAGGTAAAGAATTAAAAAAAACAAAACCAAAATCAACAACCAAACAAAAAAAAACCCAAACAAACAAACAAAAAAGAAGCTACAGTAACAGCTTGGATTTGGAAACCATTTTGATATAATGGTAGATTACAGAAAAATTTTCAACCCCTAAAGTTGAGTTTGACTGGAGAAAATGTGTTACACGTGCAGCAGGAAGCCATCACCTTGCAATGTTTAACATTTTAACACAGGAAGCCTAAATTAGAAATCTAATTTATATCATAAGCACATGCGAAACAATATTTTCTCAATTTACTTTTAAGATGTTTTTGGTATGGCACTGCTGTGGAATTAAGTAAAGTAATGATTTATTGTTGCTTAAAATATCTTAATTAAAAATAATATACTATCTAATGATATATTATTAGAACAGTAAAAATAAATGAGAAACAATACTACTAGAAAACTTCTAGACTTTTACTCGCTGAAACTGAAAATTTTCCTCAACAGATGAGCAACCCAGTAGGTGGTTTGGTGAACCATTGCACCATTTGTATTACATAAGTAGGATCATTTAAAAATCCCAACCAGCAGATTCCAGAAAGGGACGGTCTCCTACGTACATAAACTTCATCCATACAGAGCTATAGCTTTAAGGTAAAACAATAAATAAATGCTATTTAGAGAAAACAGTCAAGAAATCGTTTCCATTCACAGCGATGCACTGAATTTCACTGGGCCCTGGGGCAAACATTGTGAGTATGTACATGGATATATATCACAAGGGTGGTTAAGGGTCCTCGTTAAAGCTCTCAGAACAGAACAGTGGGGCTGGAGCAAGCTGCTGATATGCTGACTGGACCCATTACAAACCCTATGTTTTTCTTCCTATTACACGGTACAATTATTTTAATGTTCAGCTTTGTGTCCTCTTCCATGAAAAACAGCACTTGAGTTTAAGTGGCAAGTCACTCTGTGTTGAATATTCACCTCAGATAACTTATACATCTCTCTCCAAGGATTATGCCAGTAAACAGCTGCACCAGTTATCAGCAGTTCACTTATACCGTCTTAACTCGATTGGAATGCAATCCTCTTCTGCATCTGTCAATAAACTCTGAAGAGTTGATATTTACTATTTCCTTTAATGCTTCAATTTGTACCACGCTTAAATCCCTTTTCATAGAAAAATACAAGAGATACTTAACGCTGTTCTCTGAGAAAGGCTCTTGATATGTTAATTCCACGGAGCAATTTCAGTTGAGATGGATTTTTGCATTAATGTAATTACCTGAAAATGCAGGTGACTTTGTTCAAGTTTACTGTCCTGATTTACATATCAAAGTCTAGATGTAAAAGTTATAATGTAACCTTTGAAAACTTACCCATTTAAAAAACTTGGGTTAAAATTAAGGAATTCTCAAGCTTTTCAAAACCAAATTTAAGTGACAATATTAAAGCAACACTATAAAACCAATTAACCTGCTGATCAGTTATATATAAGGCCATAATATTTCAGTATTAATAAGATAATGGTGGAAAAATATTCTGAATAGTTTAGCACAATGAAAAGTAAATGCTTTTAGAAAAATAAATGAATTATGTCCAAGATACGTTCAGATACAGTGTGTACACTTCCAACATACAGATTTATAAAAAAGCTTTGGATGGCTTGGATCAAGCATCATCATAAGCACCTACCAGCACTGAAGAGTTAGGGGAAAATGGTGTATAAAGAAAAACTTAACTTTTTCAATAATTTTGAACTAAGAGGAAGTGACTAAAAAGTATTCTGGCATAACAGTGAAACAGAGACATGAAAAGCAAAAAGTATTACAGTACCTCAGAAAAATAACAGTAATTCTAAGAACATTTTATCTCTATTAGTTTAAACTGGGAGACAATGTCAAATCAGCCATGAAGATTTCAACCCCTGGACTACAAAGAAGTCTCACGGAATCTTATTTTCAGGTTTATGGACCTATAAGGAAGTGCAGATCCATCAGAGAGGTTGTGAGTCAGCAGACTACACTTACCCTCGCAGAAGGCATCTGCATGTTAACCGAAAAGGAGTAAAATAAATAAATAAAACCAAAACCTCCCAACACTTTAATTTCACAAGACTTTACAAGCTTGTTATTTTCTAGTAATGAACTTGATACAGAGATGTGTCTGTCAGGATTTCTTGGGCACAGGTAGCTGCCACATTTAAATGAGAAAAACACCACAGTAGAATTACTTCACATCTTGAATACATACTTAGATTCTCCAAGTATCCTTCCCCAAAACTCAAATGACATCCATGACCTACTAGAAATGCTAGGGGTAATTTTCTACTTTACATCTACTTTACACACACTTTCTGTCAACAAAATCTAGATCCTCTTCTGCTGGGCAGATGGAAGTGTTGGTTTTTAACCACTCTTCCCATATATATGCGACCACAGACACAAGGTATCTTTATGTCCATCGGTGTCTACATCCCCCCAGGCTTTTTGCCCTGCTGGCATCAAAGGTCAGGAATGTCATTTGTTTGCAAAGGAAGTATCCTTGGATGAAAGGTACTTAGAAGTTGTTTCAGATGTGTAAGAGTTGAACGATAGATGAAAGATTTGTCTACTGTTGCTACTGCTGTTTATTCTACTGGGTATATAAAAGCATTCATGTGATGCAAGGTCATTCCTGTTACCTCTCTTAAGTTTAAGGAAACAGCCAGGCAGGTGTTATTTCTAACCTGCTTTATTACTGGCCAAAAAACCCCTAAAAACTCTCCTCAGCCATCACATTCCATAAAAAGTAAAAAAAAAATAAATCTAAATTTACAGCATTATAGAAACACCAATTTAAAGATCACACTTATCTTCAGTTCAGCGTTAACACTTCCTTGAGAATTTTGTAGAAATGTATTAGGCAAAATGCATTTATTTTATTTTCAAGTAAAGAACACTTGAAATTACCCTAGGTTATAAAAATCCACATTTATGTTGTAAAGTGCAAAATTACATTTATGCTTATTCAAAAGAAGATACTATGCGGTTCAACATACAAAGGAATAAATACTTATTGTTCTAATTTTTAAATCTTTGTTACAGCCTTGCTGTTATTATCATTTACCTGGTCATTATGGAAATCAGGCCTGTCTACATTTCCCATTTTCCAAGTATTCGACATTCATGCCTTTCTTTAAACCATGTGTGGCTTATATATACACGTCTATTATATCCTCTCTTCTTTTCTCTCTTAAAATAAAAAATCTTCATGGTATACAGTCCTTCAAAGCCTATAACATACTGGTTATTTCTCTGTAGAAAACTTCTTAAAAATACTATAGTTTTAGTCTCTTAGAGACTTGAACAGGTCTGTGAGTCTTGAATGGAAAGGCATTGGTAGACATACATACCATTTGAATACAATCATTATCAGAGAAGTTTTAATTTACTAAATCAGCACATTATAGACAATCAGCATAGAAAAGTATATCAAAAGAAATTTGTATCATGGAATCTTTGATTTTGATCACTTACTATCAAGCCACTGTTACTTTGCCTTCTCTCTCTGTCATGAAGTTTTCTGTAGAAAATCCCTCCTGGATTAAATTGAGTACTCCAAACAATCATGTCCCCTTGAAAATATGCATCCATTCCAGTTATCCTTGAATTATGTTCAATATGTGATATTTGCTGATGAACATCACTGTAGTTGAATGGATATGCAAAACCCAGGATGTCAGTGTCATTAGCAACATAGAGAACTTGATCTTCAGAGCCTAGGGGTTATTATAATGAAACAAAAATAAGGTAAATGTCAACTAATGCAAAATCAGTGTTTTTCACTCAAGTAGCTTTTTGGTGTTTATCTGATATAATTTCTTATGTTAAAATTATTTTCTGATTGTTGAAGACTGCAAAAACACTCACGCTCTGGGCAACAGATTGCAACTCTTCATCCTCTGATACCAATATATATTACTCCAATGCTCTCTAAGCTCACATTGTGACACCTAAGACTGTATTTTAAGGTGTATGTAATAGAAGAATTTGTTAAGCAGTATACAAAAATAGGGGATATTATGCATTAAGCCCATATGAATCGCTACATACTTTTATATGCATGTTGTGTCTAGAGGATCCTAAATGTCTATATTAAAGGAACACAAACTTGCCAACAAGCATTATTTTAAATTGCTTAATTGGAAATTAGAAGCGGAATGATCCTTTCTCTTTAATGATCTCTAATGAAAGCAGTGAAGTTTTGAAATTGACTGTAACATGAGCAATCTGGACCAAAGCTGCTACAGAACATATGCAGTTGTACGTTATATCTCCTCATTTCAGATAGTTAACATTTATGGTTACCTGTGAATGGGTGGTATTTATGGATACCTAGTTGCCATCTTGATTCAGATATTGTAAAATTTGTTATTCATAAGAAAATGTTCTCTGGTATCTATTCATTAAGTTTGGAGAAAGTTTCAAATCTGCTGGATATATTAGAATGCACTTGCAATTTTTTTAGATTTCCAATTCATACCACATTCATCTACAGAGAATCAACTTATAATAATGTCTGTCCAATAAATTTCCTCCTTATGAGTATGAAATACCAAAAATCAGTTGTTCCCTCACTCCTGCTAAATACAAGAAGAGGAGTTCCATTAAAGCAAGTATCAGTGAGTGATTCCCAGATTTTTAAATTATAATCCCTCAGAATTGTGCCTGTATTTCTGTAATAACTAGCCACTATCTACACTCAGTAACCTTGCTTGTTCCCATGTCATAATCTGTCTTTCTTCAGTAATAGGTAATGATGCAAAATCCTTGTAGAGTCCAAGTTACACATAGAGGAAATTACTAATGACTCAATATAATCTTGCCATGATAAGTTTGCTACAAGAAAATGTGAACGAAGCATGTAAGATACCTGACTATCACTATCCAGCTACTCAGCATTGGTGTACCTACCATACTGGCTGGTGTGCTACAAAGAAGGAAGAACTGGAATTAACATGATACAATCTGTGATGGCTCTAGGATGTATGCCTACAACATGTGCTTACTGGCCATAAGGTTCAGATCAGGTACTGCTCAGAGTTGTGCACCAGATAAGCACAAATATGTGTAAGGAGCCACACCTTGTAACTTCAATGATGCTTCTGCACTGAAGACTCCAAGTGTAGGTGTAAGTCAAAGTAACACCAAAATCTCACTAAATTGCAGGTAAGATGCTAGGATCACACTTTCGGTTATTCAGATACAGTCCCATAAAGATTATGTTAACCTTACTCAGGCAGATGGATTATCACTTTTTTAGTTTCTAAAATGATTTAAAAGTTACATAATACCTCGACTTAACCATTACCTCCATTTTGTACAATACCTCTACCTAATGAAAGACGGAAATAACATCCATGTATGCGTATTTCTTTACCTTCACTGGACCACGATCTAGGCTGCTCATGTATATGAGGAGTATATTCTTAGGTGAATATACTTAGAAAAACTCCATTTAAATGACTTGCGTAAGATTTCTCAACATGACAAAGCAAAGCACGTTAACTTCAAATACTACTTAATTTATTCCTAAAGTTCTAAAAGATATTTCTGTGGAAGAGTTGATTCTTTTCTCAAGCTTCTGAGGCTTCACCAGAATGCTTACATGTTTGCTAATATATAATCTCTGATTTTCTTATTTGAGTGTATCTTTTTGTAAACAGAGAAAGCTGGAGTTGGAAATGGACTTTCATATTAAGTATGCTCATTTACATGGAAGTGATAAGAATTTACTGCTTACCAAAATGAAAGGTAAATCTGAGCGGTTTTGGGAATTATTTCTGTGCACTATTCAAGAAATATTTATCTAAAAATAAATTGTATATGCAACACGTTAGTGTTACCAACAATGCACGTAATAAACGGTTTACTACTGTCAATCTAGTTTGATTTTTATAGCCTTACCTTTTGCTATGCAACTGTTATTCTTCTCCTTATAATTTTTCTCGCATGCACATTTGTATGACCCCTTAATATTACTGCAGTGTTGGGAGCAGGCACCAAATACCATACACTCATTGATATCTATGAGGAAAAGAATTGTAATTTATATACCTATATTTAAATATGCTATTATTTAACATGTTTGGAACATCATGGAACAAACAATGCAGATGAACAAAAGGAACTCGTAAGCATTTGTGTATCTTGCAACAGCAAAAGGAAGCTTTCTGCAATTATTTCCACTGCAATCAACATATCTCAGAAAGATACGTTATATCTTTTCCCCATCCTTCTTTATCAACCTGTTATCACTAAAGCTTGAAATCAACTTTGACAATGAAAGTGTCTGTTATAGTTCTCTCCAACATACCTATGTCTTACAAGTCAAAACTACGTGATCATCCCTTAGTGGAAAATCCCACGTGTATACCTTTTTCTTAAGAAACAAACAATGACGTTTTTATATCAAAGTATCTATTCGCTTTGATAGTCCCACTGAGGTGATCTTCACCTTTTCTGTAAGTTACTGCTCACCGGTAAGAAAATGAATTCACAACCCATTCTTTGGGAACGTAGATTTACCTTCTTTTTGATCTTTTTTTTCTTTTTGATCACCTCTTTCATTATAACATGCCCTTTTTTCCAGAACAGTGTGGTAGCATATCTATTAAGACTACATTTTCTAAGGTATTTTACTTTCAATCTGTAAATTTTCATTTCAGTTTTCAGTTTTATGCATCTTCATTATTTTAGGCATCCCCAAATATTCGCATATACCAACTTAAACGCTAAACCTGATTTTTCAGTTAAATAATCTACTAGGCCTTAAATGACCTATTTACCCCTTAAATTATAAAATCATTTAATGGTCCGACCTGAACCTTTTGACATTCACAGCCAATGTCAATCTTTGATAACCTCTCCAGGGAGAATGCATAACTCTACATCCTGTAACTCCTTTCAGTTTCTTTTCTTGATTTCTTAATCCCATAGCTATGATACAGTTTTTACTCTGTGGAAAAAAGTATGCAATATGTATCTCCTTCTCCAGCATAGAAAATTGACTACGCAGTTGAGTTTTAATACTTTACAGCAAGGGAAAATAGAAATGATGTGCACCTTCACATTGTCTGTTCCTCTCATTTCTTTGAAATCCAGGTTTACACTGGCACAGTAGGGATGTTTTTGTTTGATTACAGGATGCATCATCTCCACAAGGATTCACATTATCTTCACATGTATATTCAGTGACACCTAAACATAAACAAAATGTGTAAAAAACCAACTGATAGATTTGTTTAAACTGTGAAAAATGAGATCTAAAATAACAGCAAGTAACAAATTTATCTTTCTGTTAAAAGAGTACCAGGTAAATTTTAAAAAAAAATATGACATTACGGTATTTACTTCTATATGCATATAAATTGACAATATTTAATTGAGATACTTCATTTCTCATCAAGAATCTAATGCTAAAATTTATCTTGCTGCAAATATGAAATAGAACGCAAACAACTTAAAGCTAAACTACTTTAAAAATTCAAGAACTACGCTAAATATTACTACAACCTGAATTGCTATAAAATTTGTCTTCCTCTTGTAGTATGTAAAATAGAATTAACTGGGTTTTTAACTAAAAAAATAACATTAAGTTTAATTAACTTCTGTGCTGTTGAGAAGGTTTTGCATGGATGAAAGTCTCAGTTAATTATTTCTTTTCTGCTACAATCACAAAAACATATCTTGTCAGCCAAACTCACTTATTTTGCAGTCTTGCTCATCTGAACCATCTCCACAGTCATCAAACCAATCGCACTGTAGCTCCATTGGAATACATTTCTTATCATTACAAGTGAATTCATCTTTTTTACACGGTCTTGCTTTATATGTGATTTTATCTGTATCATTACAAATTAATAAGAGAAAAATAAATTAGTATTTAAGATTCTTAGATTATTTTAGACATACAAATGGGAATGGCCATGAAGCATTAAGCGACTGGAAATTATTTCAAGCTTAATTTCTTTCCATTTCAAATTCTGATCTACTAACCTCCAGTTAAGCTTTACTGAAGGACAAGCAGATCTCTGTAACAAAGTTTGCCTTCAAGTTGTTTTCTTTGATCTGAATGCCTTGAAAGGTAATATCACCTACCGCAGTGATCTTCATCCGAGTTATCACCACAGTCATCAACCTCATTGCAAATCTGCTCAGGTCGCAGACAAACCCTGTTGTTTCTACATCTGTACGGCCTTGTTGGAGGGCATGGAAACTTTACTGTATATTAAAAAAAAAAAGAATCAGCTATTACCCAGCTAGTATTCTTGGGCCTTCTTTAATGCCTCCTTATCAAAGCAACAAGCAGGCATGGGAACACAGTTGTACTTGACATATTAATGGTACTTGATTTTAACTTCTGGTACCTAATGGAATAACACTTCAACAATGTTTACAGTATAAGGTCTTCATTTAGGGAATGAAGTTATTTTGTGTGATAAGGGTAATGACACTTCTTTGAGAATCAGTAAATGTGACAGAAATAAAACACAGGAAGTAGGAAATTTAATGTTAATCAATATTTCAGTGTAGGAGTAACTTTTTCTCATCTGTGCACTTCCTGCAAAAAGATTAATTTCTCACAAATATCTTATCTGGAATTACATGAGTAGCAATAACAACAGAAAATTATATCCCACATTTCAAGCTAATCTTCTAAAAGTAAAATAAAGAGAACTTGGATGCATATGTCCTTGTGTACTTATGTAGGTTACATGTCATTTCTTGCTTTATTACATGAAAAGCACTGAAAAATGTAATGCCATACCACACATTTCAGCAACTTCATCAGAGTTATCTCCACAGTCATCCTCGCCATCACAAACCCAAAAATGTAGTTTGCAGAGGGAATTGTTGCACAAAAATTCATCAGCTCTACATATATTTCCCCCTGGGAGGATGAAAAGAAGACAGGAGAAAAACCAGGAAAGCAGAAAGACAAAAGAAAGAACATCAATTCTTGATAAAACCAGTACAACCGCTTATCACATACTATCTGCAGAGAATGACACACATAGCATAACTAAATGAACAAATCCCAACTGAAAGGGTTGGAGAAGCAGAGAGAAATATTCATTTAAAAATCTCTCCCTTGACCATACATGTCCTTCTCTTTTCATGACTGTTAGCTAGGAATTACCTATTTGGCCTGACTAGAAAGACAGACACTGACACCTCACTAGCTAGGTATATTCCCCTTGCATTTAGCCAGGAGATGCTTAAACTCTATTTCTGCCGGTAACTTCATTTGGTGATGCTGCCTTTCAGAAAAGACCTGGTGGAGTACATCAGTAATTTGTGCGGAGAACAGTACAAACCAGAAGACAGAAATGAGGTCAAACTTGTGAAAGGCCGCTTCGGTCCAGGTTTGTTTCACCATGCTCCTCCAACTGTTCCTACTCCCACTCTCTGAGACACACATCATGTTCAGAAGAGACCAAGTGATTGCAGTCGCTTAGCCATGAGGTAGCACCTTTTTCTTCTCCTGAGGAGTACTAGGCTTGGCCAGGCTTGTAACATCCCCATCAGCTATAAGCTCTGTAATTAGGGAAGATCTAGCCATTTGGGCACAGAGCAGGTAAGACTAGGTGACCTCTAACAGTCTCTTCCTTTTTGTAACTTCTGAAATTTCTCATTAGGATATTTACTGAACACAGATGCAGCAAGAATAAATTCTTCCATGTAACTTTACTATTGATTGAACTCTGAATCATGTAACAAAAAGGAACAGAGGATGAGAGAAAATGTTTTAAGCTGGAGTGCTCAAGCTGTAAAAATTGGTTCAAGCTGGATTCAATTTTAATACGTGTAGCAGTAAGAAGCATTTTGTTTCAAAATTATAACTAAATTTCACCACTACCAATCAGCGAAGTTATGGAAACTTCTTGAAATGAATTTTCTACAGAACACATTTTTATGGTAACTGGATTCTCAGTTTCCTGAGAGTAGTAGAGTATAAAAGAAATAAAGCTGTGTACCTGCAGAGAAGGAAACAATGTAATTTTATATGATAACACCAAAACTCTCACTGCGGCTTACCTCAATGCATTACACCCATCCTAATAGTTAGATCAGGCTCCAGTGGCTTTTTACTTATTCATTCAGTGCCCTGTTCACACCCCATTAAAATCAACAGAAGGCTTTCTTTCACTATAAAGGGTTCAGAATGGTTTAAATATTTTTTCCAGAAAATTAGTTTGCATGAAATACCCACCGTGTAAAAGGATGTTGGGAGCTCTCACACTATGCTACCAAATATAATTCACTCCCATTGCAAATATAAGTTATGAACATTAACAGAAATATTCTTTATCATCATCCAAGGAAAAAAATATTAAAAAATCAAGTATTCTTCATGATGAAAGACATGAATATAAATAATTTTGTGTACAATCACAATAAAACCATAATTCCAGTTGTATAATAAGATTGAAAAGAGCCACATTTATACATGTGCACAGTGGGCTACAGATAAATATTACAGAGATTGTTTTAGAATGCTGTAGAATAAAACTCCATTTGTGTTTGCTGTATTTCCAAAGAGGAAAAAATTAGTTATCAGTGAGATAAACTAGCATTTGTTTCATGTGATTGCTCTGCCTGTCATAATTCCTTCATAGAGTAGATTTCTGTAACAGAAATCATAATTGTGACATAAATACAAAGTATTATAGCAATAACCAACTAGGCAAAAGGCTTCTTATTGCATTATAAGCAATTTGCAGTTCACAGAAGCTCCATTATGTTATCCAAAGAATAATGTGGGCTTCAGATAAAGTAAGTGTGTTACTACTCACTTACACGTCATTGGGTTTTAAAGAGATACAGTCTAGATATTTTAAAAGCAGTTTTAAAATGGACTAGGAGTTTTAAAAAACTTTGTTCATCGCAGTCTTCTCAAAACAATTAATTCATCAACACTTCAAAATATGATGTTTTTCTCTTTGCATCTAAACACCCCTGGAACATTCATCCTGTTTTCTTCATTTTCTGGTCTCTCTTTCAAACTTAATCATCCCATATAACTTCTTTTTTCCCTAGTGGTAAGTGTTGGTTAATAGACTTATGACAAACTAAGGGACGGATATTTTACTCTGTGATTTGGTTGCTTCATCTCTGATTATTATTACTTATTACTGTACTGCATTATGCTTTTGAAGATACACACATATCATGATTGTAGATGACTAACACACAGAACTACTCACTTTAAATAAAAACAAGAAGCTGACAAAATACTCAGTAAAATTTTTCTTTTTAAAAAAAATTATTTAACTTGAGTAAGAAGTTCTGTGTTTGTCACAATTATTGAATTAGTACTCTACACTTGTAAGAATTTTGTGCTGAGTTACACTGCTACTGCCTGGTAGCTGAAGCAAGGTTCAGTTAAAAAAAAAAAAAAATCAGAAATAAAGACTTGCATGGTCTTACTCTCAGAAGGAATACTACGGAAAACTCATTTAGTAATGTCTAATTGCATACACCTTCCTGTGTGTATGTATATATAGATATGCATGTAAATATATATGAATACTCAATTTAAAAGACATATTCGAGCAAGATTTGTGAATCTGCAGCAACTATGAGGATTAGACCAACAGATATATTTCTAAAAAACATATTTGGAAGCTTAATCATAAGCATGAGAGTCTGAGCGTAGCGGTTAGCTTCATGTGAACCAACTTACGTACATAGTTCTGCTCTCTAAGGAAAGCGAGAATTCAAAATGTGGTTTTATGGGTTCTGGTTAGTTGCATCATTTCATCTCCATGGAAATAAGTAGAAAACTGAGGTCTTAAGATTACTTATTTAGCAATTTTTCCTTATATTATATGGCTTTGTAATTTATTGTTGCCTATAAAACTATAAATTAACTGAACTTATTACCAATTTCTCTGATGAGACAGAATGTGCTTCCAGTAATAACACAACCTTTTGGTCCTTGGGGAAGGAAACACAAAGAAGGAACAAGGAGCTGTGAGTTATAAACAACGTAAGTTTTGCTTCATCCTGCAAATTGCTTGTGAAGCTGCTATACTGTCTTTGGCAAAGGAGGTCACAGAGCTTTCATTTCATCACTCAGAACGGCCAGAGTACCACTAATTTACAACATGACTTAATACAAAACCCAATAAGGTAAGCCTTTTAAAGAAAAGTGTCTCTTACCTTGGTCACAGTTTTCTTCGTCACTGCCATCCACGCAGTCATGGATCCCATCACAAAGCCATCTGACGGGGATACAGTAGGCCTTATTTTTGCATCGAAACTGTTGTTCTTTACATTCTGTTACACAATCCATCTGTGCAAATACAGATATGAGCTAAGTATTAATGGATGAGAAAAAACCCATCATATTCAAAGACAAACCCAACAAAATTTACCACCACTGTTTTTTGTTTTCCTATGTATTCAATACAATAAAGTTGTCCCTGACAATGCAAAGTGCAATTTAAATAGTTACTGAAGTCCATGTGACATTGTAACCGCACATTATAGAAGTTCCGATATTACTTCTATATTGCTTAGTATTAGCATTGGAAACAAGGGCTATATTCACATTTCTGGTCAACTGCCCTAAGAGAACCAACCCTGGACTTGAGGCCAGTCAGTGCAAACTGGCTCATATCCACATCGATCAGGAACAGAAACCTCCACAGTGGATTGTCTTCACCTGCACCGGGTTGCATTTGGGTCAGGCATCCTTCAGGCTCTAACTGGCACCTTTACGGCTCTCAGAAATAACAATTATTTTTGGTCTTTTTTCTTGAAGTTGGCAATTTTTCAAGAAGACATCAACAGTGGAACATGTAGGATGAGCATTGCATAAAGGCCCACAGGGGTTGCAGTGCCTGCTAGGATTGTATTAGATGAATCTAGAGGACAGAGGGAGCCAAATGTGACACAAACTTGTCCACATGGCCAGTATGGAGCAGTCACTGAATAAAACTGCCCCAGAACAGCTCAGGTTTTGACTTAGGGGAAATAAATTTTTCTGCTCTAAAAGGTGGCCATGGAACAAACAAACATAATGCAATGTAACTACCAAGGAACCAAAATCATGGGGCTGTTATCTGACAGTGTTCAATGGGTGCAAAAAAACCCCATTTGCCCTTTTAATTATTTTCAGTTCTAAAACTGTTAACAAATTTCATGTCAGATGGTCAGAAAAAAAGAAATCAACATAAATTTGTCAGCTACCTCATCAGATCCATCAGCACAGTCATACTCTCCGTTACATTTCAAAGACGCCGAAATACAGCCTCCACTTGCACACACGTACTCACTTGGAGAGCAGGTTGGAGATGCTGGTTACAAACACATATTTTAGCATTAAGAAGAAGAGAATTAATAAACGAGTTGCTTTATGATTTCATTTTTTCATCTGGTTAACATAATGAACAAACATGTATTTGTAGCTGACCAGAGCTTTTCCAAATGTTCATAAACTACAACGAAATATTTGACAAAACTTAATTGTTGCATCCTAAGTAGATTGTATAGCAATAGTGAATGGATATTTGTGTTTCACCACTGAGAAATTTTTTATGCTTTCCTTGTGCTTGGTAACAACGTACTACACACATATGCATACTCATAGAACAAGTGTATTAAAAAAACTCCATTCTTTGAAATGGGCTTAGGGTTTAGCTAAAGTTATGTAAGTGTTGATAATTAAATAAGTTTAATTTATAAGAAACCATGGGTTTAGAAAATATATATTATTACAATTACAATAAATACATGTTAATCAGTTTTGTTTAAAATACAGGTGAACATTTTTGTCACATTGTAAATCAGGGGAGTTTTGTCATAGACTTCTATCAGTTGCATCTATCTACATGAAGCTTAGAAAAAAATTTAGGGATATTCCTGAAAAAATAAACAACCTCATTTTCCAAGACAGTAATAAAGAAATAAGACAATAACATCAAAAATAATAATTTGCTAGAGCAAACTTTTGCATAAGGACTAGCAAAAATTGAATGAACACCACAAACCAAAAAAATCCCCAGAGACACTTTAGTAACATGCCAAGAATTACTGCTCTTTTCAGAGCAGATTTTTATAATCTGAGTATACATTATCAAATTATATTTCAATATAATTAAATTAAATACCATTCCCCCCAGCAAGCTTCACATTGCATAGCTGTACATAAGTGGGGTTTTCAAAACATGAGTAGGACAACACAATGATACACATTCAAAAGATAAAGTATTTCAGATTTCTTTGCGTTCCTTGCTACTCCTAGTGTACAGGGAATCTTGACCTGCTGATTTATTTTCTCCTCCTTCATTCTGATTTATTCCTTGCTTTATTTTATTTTTCAGCATTATTTAAAACAATACCTGGTTCACAATTTTTCTCGTCGTCCCCAAGTTTGCAGTCTTCATGACCATCACACTTCCATTTCGCTGATATGCACTGACCATTGGAACACTGGAACTGATCTCTTGAACAGCCTGTTTCACAATACCTCTGGTACAATAAAAACAACATACATATGAGATCAGGAGTTTATATTAAACATTGGTAAATATACAGCTGATCAGAGAAATTACAGCTTATACTCATCCATACATACAGTAACACCTTGTGAAATAAAATACATTTGTAGATATGCTTCATGAAAGGTGGCTTGCACCATCTAAGCAGGTGGGAAGCACCTGAGGTCCAGCAGTGGCAGGAAAGGATAAGGGAAAAAGGGACAGGAAAGCACAGAAAAACAGCAAAGCAAATACCCAGAGAGCTTCTGCTACACAACAGCTGACACGGTGTTTTCTCAAAGAAAACCGCCTCACGCACCAAACCACTGCTGTGTGTAGAAAGAGTGGTTCCCCAACCAGGACACAAAGTATTTACAGGATGGGAAGAGGCCCAGATCATTGTTGGGATGAAAAGGTGTAGACTATTTTTAAACATGACTTGATTTTATTTGCATGTTCTCTTTTTAGGATAACTATTTTAATAGGTTTAGCTTTAATTTAGTCAAGATATTTGCGTATATGCATTCACGTGTAGAATTCCCGCTGCTGCTTTTTAAAATATTCATATGTGGGAATCCATTCTCCAACAATATAAAACTACTCATTTTCTAAGGAAATATTTTTCCTGGAAGAAGCGTACCTCATCTGAGCCATCAGCACAGTCATAGTCTCCATCACACCAGAATCTTGCTGAAACACAGTCTCCATTTGCACAAAGAAAGTCTTTCAAAGTGCATGTTTGAGGCTCTGAATAAAGAAAAGTAACAACCCTAGGTTTATTAATATTTCTGTAATTTTTTTTATACTTAACACCCCCAATCAATCCATGAATGACTATAACAAAGTCAAAACCACTCACTTGCAAACTATAAGGATTTCTTTCTGTAGAATTTTGTTTCATAAGATTTTATAACTAAATTTCATTTACATATAGTAATATAGTAATGAAAATACTTTCATTTCAGTTCTATCAAATTTCTTTGGACAATTATGTGATGCCGTCTATATAAATATTTATTTCAAATTATTTTATTTCAATGCATATATGTTATTACAGATTTTGAGAGAAATGTACCACAGACCAGAATTTTTTTTGCACCTGGTAATACTGAATGTAATCAGAACTAACCAGATCTTTGACTTTCCATCATGCAATAGCACACCATTTATCACGTTCCTTTTAACGTGCCTGTCAAGTGTCAGCTTCCCCTGAGCTAAGCATTCAGAGGAGCAGTATTGAGATGGTACATGGAATGCCTAAGAGGTAAGGTTTGGCGTTTCAAGTAAAATCCTTTTTCCAGAAATTAAGTAGGGGAGGAAGCACAAAAAAATCTACTGACTTCAATACTGACAAAAGTGTTAGATTTAAAAAAATGAGAATACAGTGAGTTGCAAAAGTCAAGGGACAGTATACTTTCATAAAAAACCCACTACTGTCAATTTGTTACAAAATGCAGAAAGGGGGAAAGAAGTAAGGATAAGGATGGAATTTCAATTATTTTAGGGAAACAGAAGTGAGATGTTAGACAAAAAGAACCTAAGGAGCTTACAGATGGATAGGAGACAGTAAAGGTTGGAAGGTAAGAGGGGTATTTTGTGATAAATGGGTAATGTTGTTCTACTCCCTGGGAAGAAAAAAAACACAAGGAGCTCTGAAGTCATTATAAAAGGTAGACACAATAAAGGGGAAGCGTAGACACAAAACTAATTCAAGGCACAGGCAAAGCAAACCAGAGAAGTAGGCTGCAGGGAGCGACGGAGTGATCCTGAGAAGGTGAGGTTGGCTGTTTCAGCCTATTTACTTCACTGGCCACACACCTCTGCACTTTTGCTACTGCTGCCACAAAAACACTAGCAAGGGGACAGTGTGGAAGATTCCCCCAGCAGAATACTATGTGCTTTCTTCCTGAAAATGATGACCATTATGAAAGACATTGGAAAAAATGAAGTTAATGGCTGGACTTTGGACCGTTAGGTTAAACAAAGAGAATTTAAGCAAGTCTCTACATGCAATTTAGACTTGCCAGTCAGAGAGCTTTGGGAAAGCAGGACTGAAAAAGCAAACAAGGATTACTTGTGGGATTATTTCCATCACAGTAAACACTGCATTATGTAAATAATGTAAAATCAAGAATAAGGATTAATGAGTAAGAACTTTTCAACAGAGGGATAGGAAAAAACATCAGGCAAATGGTAAATGACAGTGACTAAATCGAAGGAGGAAGGGTAAAAAAGAAAGAGGAGGGACTGAGAGCAGAGACTTGCAATGGGCAGTAATGGAGTGGGTAATGCAAAGGGTCCTTTACCTGGTTATGGAAGGTGGAAGCATCAATGCTTTTGAAAAAAGTTCTATAGTGATCGAGGAAAGCAAACACAAAATCAGAGGCTTCCAATTGAGAAGAATTTAGTAAATACCAGCATGAGAATATACTAGATGTGAGCTGCGCAGATCTAAGGTAAAGTTGAACTTAGGTTCTTTTCTGGATTTATAAAAATCAAAAAACGTTTCCAAGAAAGGAATACTTTTAATGAAACTTTCAGCTACTTTTTTTTTTTCTTCACTTCATAAAAAAAGTCAAAATGATGCTGCTTGTAAGTTTTAATGAGAAATTTCATTTTCCAGGTAGGCGAAACTTTTCTTTTTGAAGTTGTAGGAAGGTCATAATAAAGCAGATCTACAGCAATTGCATCAGTTCTCCAGCAATGTGATATTTAAGTAAAACAAAGGTTAGAATTTAAATGGATTCTTAGATTATACACATACTACTATGATTTTTTTCAAAGCAAAAGCTTGTTGTATAAATGTTAGCAAACCACTGACTTCTGATTTTTTTTTGTTGTCAACAGGCCAGGAAGAGGAAGTTCACGATATGATACATTATGTAAAGGAAGTAATTTATGGAAAAAGTAATTCACATGCAAATAAACATTTGTCATGTTTCTATATTAATTTACAAAATATAAGCAAATACATTTTCTATACTGCTAATGAATAACTTATAAACAGATTTGATTCTGGAAAAACGTACACAATGAGCTAACTTCTCAATTCTGTGTTTGCAAGATATACTTCTGCTGCTGGAATATATCTCTGTGATTTACATATGAACACAGAAGAGTATTTTCCCATCAGTGCTCAGACTGTTAGTGAAAGGAATAAGTATTAATAGACTGCTGTACAACCAATGAACGACAGCATCTTTCAGCTTCTGCTTTATAAAAACACTGAAACTCCATCCTGAGAAAAGCATTTTTGAATTATTAGAAGGAATTGTACTTGAAACACAGCACATAAACTGATGTACTTCTTTCACATTTTAAAGTCTGAAAATAATGTGTAGAGCCAACAGACATTTGTCATCAACTTAAATGGTAGCAAAAAAGAATCTCATGAGAACCATTTAAAATGATTTAATATTTGGGGTTCAATTTTGCATTTAATAGGCATAGATATTCCACTAAGTCATGAACTGAAAGGATTTTTTTAGGACACTGATGTACTGATATACAAGTCTGAGGGAAAAAAGACTAAGTTTTTTTTTCTTTAAATAGGATATGAAATTCAAACTTATAGTGTACTTTTTACCTGGATTTGTACAGGATAAATAAGTTTGCTCCTTGTGAGAATTCTGTCTTGTAGCAGCTGTTACAAAACAAATTTCTAGAAAAACTGATTTGTATAATAGGAAAGGTGGAACTTTGTCCTGGTTTCGGCTAGGATAGAGTTAATTTTCTTCATAGTAGCTAGCATAGTGCTGTGTTTTGGATTTAGTCCTACAAGAATGTTGACAACACACTGATGTTTTCAGCTGTTGCCAAGTAGTGCTCAGACTACTCAAGGACTTTTTGAGCTTCTCCTGCTCGGCCAGGTGCATAACAAGCTGGGAGTACAGCACAGCTAGGACAGCTGACCCAAACTGACCAAAGAGCTATTCCATACCATAGAACGTCATGCTTGGGGGGGATTAGTCGGTCGGTCGGTCAGTCGCAGGCAGAGTGATCGCAGCTCGGGACGGGCTGGGCATCGGTCAGCGGGTGGTGAGCAATTGGATTGTGCATCACTTGTTCCATATATTCTGTATATTCTCTTACCATTATTATTATCACTAGTGTTATTCCTCTCTCTTATTAAACTGTCTCTAATCTCAACCCACGTGTCTTACTTTTTTTTTCTTTTCTCTGATTCTCTCCCCCATCCCATGGCAGGGGGGAGTGAGCGAGCGGCTGCATGGTCCTTAGTTGCCAGCCAGGTTAAACCATGACAAACTTGTACACAGAAGAAGTAACAGCAATACAAACATGGGCTAGGAGCCCCTCAACCAAAATGAGTTAGAAGTGTACATTGACCTCTTGATTCCTCCTGGCATTTAGCAGTAGATCACAAAGATTTTGAGGAATTAGAGAACATACTTAGGCCACTCTTTCTTGTGATGAATGAGTATTCATCAGACCAACTACTAGATGGTTGTGCTGGAGTTGAAACCTTTCAGTAAGCCAAGCCAGAGTATCCAGTATGATGCATCCACACAACACCAGCAAAACAGTATTATGATGATGTGAGTTAACCCCGGAGGGCAGCTAAACCACGCACAGCTACTCAGAAGGGTCAAAGTTTGAAAAATTGTGGCTTGAGATAAAGACAGTTCAATAGGTAAAGCAAAAGCTGCGTGCACAAGCAAAGCAAAATAATTCATTCACTACTTCCCATCAGCAGGCTGGTGTTCAGCTGCTTCCAGGAAAGCAAGGGCTCCATCATGTGTAACGGTCTTGGGAAAACCAATACTCTAACTCTGAATATCCCCCCCCTTCCTCCTCCTTTTCCCCAGCTTTTTATGGCTGAGTGTGATGTCATACGGTGTGGGATACCCCTGGGTCAGTTGGGGTCAGCTCTCCTGGCCGTGGCCCCTCCCAGCTTCTTATGCACCCCCAGCCTCTCGCTGGTGGCGTGGGGTGAGAGGCAGAAAAGACCTTGATGCTGTTCAGCAACAACTAAAACATCAGTGTGTCACCAACATGGTTTTGGTCACAAATCCAAAACACATCACCATAGCTACTGTGAAGAAAATTAAGCCTATCCCAGCCAGAAAGAGTACACCTGACAAAATGGAAGAGGAGGAAAACACAAAACCACCCCTCATAATTCTCTATTACAATACTGCTAAAAACAGTAACATGGACCACCCTGCAGAATGAATGCCTGCAAACATAAGACAATTAAAGTGGCCAAAGGTGGAGGTTTTTTTTTTCCCCATATATTTAATATGGCATTAAATGCAGATTGTCTTTACTTATTTAATATTTTCAATAACTTAGCACTGTATTTCGTCAAAACAAAGATGACACTTGTTCTTTGTTAATCTAGGCATAAGACTGGTGGATATGCATAAAAGAAAAACCTTTGGTACACATCATTTTATCAAACTAAAGTAGCATACTTGCCTTTGGCTAGCATTGACACCTAGCTGGCTTTTAGAAAACTGTCACCAGCCATTGTCTGACTTGCACCAAGTCAGCTGAGCCTTAAGCAATGTAAAGAGTGTGAATTTACAGCACTGTCCATTCAAAAATCTACTCAAGGTGACATTAGGAGACATTCCAGCTTAGTTTCTTTCAATATGCTGGTTTAAAATGTTTTCACTTAAACATTAAATAACAGCTAGTTCTCACTGCATTTGGAATACAAACTTATCCCAGGACAAAATTAACTAATTCGTTTTCTTGACAACTTGTAGGAGCAACAAAACAGCACTGAGAAGATTCTCTAGCAACAGTAATATTTTTACTCTGATTGAATTCATGTCTTTCTACAGCATTATTACATTTGGTTTGCTTCAGTGTTTATAGTGTATTGTATTTTCTTTAATTACATTCAATAAAAGATTACTGCTTCTTTCTTTTCAGCAAGGAATAAGACAGGCATTACTATGGAATTTTCCTTTTTTGAAGTTCCCTGAAACAGAAAATACTATTTTTTGCTCTAATCTGTTTTCAAAAGTCCAAATAAACTCCGAAAGCAAAGTCCCTCTCCAAAAAGATATTAACTCAGAAGAGTTAAAAATGCATTCTACTTTGCTTATTGCCAATTCAGTATGGATCTATAACCTTCCTAATAACTCTTACTTATTTGGGAGGTTCCAAATATTGTTAAAGAACAATAGACTGTAAGACAAACCCAGTTAAGGAAAAAAGTCATTACAGGCACAACTATTGGAATTATACCACTAATAATTTTTCACACTCATATGTGGTATTTTTTAACATGCCTTCTGCTTCACTTCTGATAACTCCACCAGGATGCTGCGTGTGCATGTGAAGAAACTATATTGAGAAATGTAAATACTGGAGCTGGATTTCTATAATTCAGTGAGTTCATTCTGCATTCTTCAGAAACAACTCATTTTCTCATATAGTTGCCTGACAAGCCCTTTGTGTATTCATGTATACTATGAACAGCTTATCATAACGTGCAATGTAATATATTTTGTCAAATGCTTTTGAAGTTCTAATTTCATATATATTTGTTTCATTACAATTTATTCTATAAGTGGCCTGACAGCCTACAAAGAATTTTATACATCTATTTCAAACAACTGAACAGTATTATGTATTTTCTCAGTGCCTCCAAGATTTTGAATTTTACAACTATGTCAGCCTACTGTATTTAATTTAAACAGCAGAATACGGGATTCAAGAGTTAGAAGTGAAGTACGCATTTGACAAGCAAAAGAAAATGAAAGAAAAGCTAACACAAAGTACAGATCACCACTCCGGCCTTTAGTTTGATGCAGCAGCTGCGTCTCGGTACTCTCAACTCACTAATTCTACCCATTACCATTAACTACAGATTTCTTTATCTGTAAGACTAGAGAACAGGCAAGAACGGAATATATAACTTAATTATTGATGTGAACACAAAGACAACAAGCTTAATAAATATTAAAAAAAAATGGATCGATGATTGCTCCCTCATTATTTGAACTTTTTTTTTTTAATAATTTCATACTATGGTAATTAAACTTTAAGGAAGAAAATTATTAATACTGGGTGATAAATAAATCCCACTTCACACATGACAAATGTCAAATAAGATGCTTGACACTTATGTTGCAAACAGCAATAATGTCTTGTAGAAGTTGGGGTTTTTTTTTTTTTCGAATTTTCAGATTTTCAGAAGATTACCTAGCCATGTAGATCAACACTGCTATAGCAAAACTATAGCCCTTTATTAGATTTTTACAAGAGAATAAAAGAACATAAAATAATTTCTTGTTATTTATAGTATAAATGAAAATGGAAAAATCCCACTGGCATTAATAATCAATTCCTAAGTAAAATCTCCTACAAAGTTAAGAAAGCTTTTGTGTGTCAAAACCCCTCCTGGGGCATAACAATAAATGGCTTGAGTGATTAGTGAGCCACATGACATTTTCCCCTTTACATGGAACACCTGTATATGAAACCTACAATACTATTGCTTGCAGGAACTCACATTTTCAGATTTAGATACTAATTAAAAGGTAGAAAAAACCACTTTAACCTTTCAAGCAGAATGAGCTGGTCTTCAGACGTGCTGTACCTATGGACACCATGTCTCAAATTGGAGAAAAGGGTGGACAGCACGTAGTCAGCATTAGAATGCCTAATTTATTAAGCTTTCTAGGTTATTATCTTGAAGATACTACATATACATACATGATATAAAATCGGGAATATGCATTCAAGATTATCTACACAACCAGGTATTAATTTCTTGGATTTCTAAGTGCAAAAGAAAAAAAAAAAAGAATAGAAATTGTCAACTGAAGAGAAGGCACTTCAGAACTATTTGTGGAATTTCCCTCTTGAAATATTTCATAGAGACAATGAGATAAAACCATTAAAAATATGTAATTTCTTCCTGAGAACCAGACCTAAAATAACTCAGTGACAGTGGTATTACAGAGATTTATTAGGCATTCAGGTTCCTAATAGGCAGGAGAGAACTAGGCTAACTGAACTACTTCTTAATGTGATTAAGTATTCTAGAAATGGACTTCTCACAATACAAAACAAGGCAAATCATCTCAGGAATATAAAGAATGTAATGGGCAGGTAGTGTTTGATCAAACTTTATTGTTAACAAATGTTTATCACTGAGCAGTTTTTATGGTTCTTATCTAGAGATGAGAGATGCGATATGTAACTTGTTGACAAAGGTAAACTGTAATATTTATTTTGAATTTGTCAGGTTATTGAGAAGTCATAGGTAAGGCATTTTTGCATAGCTGATACAGAATTACAGTTCTTTATAAGAATGGGTAAAATTGGAGAACTTCAGCAAGGGACATTTTGAATTCTGGTCGACCGATTTTCAGCGGATCAGACGGTGTTGTATAAAACCCACATGTGCAGTTTATCCAAACTGAAAAGTTTCCCCTTACATGTTGCTAAACTGACTCCACTCCTTATAACATGTACTTAGGTAAAAGTTACTTACTACAGTTTTCTTCATCAGAATTGTCACCACAGTCGTTTTGGCTGTCACATCGCCAGTGATCTGGAATACAGTTGTTGTTTTTGCACTGGAATTCGTGAGGCCCACAAGTTTTTTTATCTGTAATTAAGATGAGTACCACTTACATCATTGCTGACAGAGTCAACAGAGGAAAGACTGTTACTAAACAGTGACACGACAACATTGCTAGATAGTCCTTTAAGAAGGAGCAACCATAATACTTGAAATGTTACCTTCAGAAATATTTTTTCTCATACCACATTCTTTAAGATACTATTTATTCATTCATACCAAAAAGAGATATGCTTATAAATTTGAAGATAAAATAAGGACTGTATACACTGTCATTTAAAGTAAAAAATATGAAATAAAGAAGTGATCACAAAATAGTTTAAAGAAAGGGTATTATTGCACTGAATCTCAAAAACTGCATTGGCTTTTCCTTGAATTTATCTGTAAGGTTGCTTTACAAAAGATCAGATCACAGTAAACCACAAGAACACTTATTTGAAAACGTACAAAATATATATTTCTCCAAAATATTATTTCCATATAATAATTTCAGACTAATCATACCTGACAGAAAACTGTGTTTTGATTTACATTCTCACGTTCTGATGTCTTGGATTGGAAGTCTACTTATACAGAGTAAAACATTATAAAGCATATAATGCTAAACTGAGATTAATTTTCTTCATGCAGCAGATTTTCAATGAACTTTCCTGAGTAGCACTGTAGGCAAAGCCTCTTGGAGATTGATGAAAATTCTGAACTCCTCCAGCAGGAAGGAGCTGCCTCTGTGTTTTATTTATATTTTTTATTTCTTGAGTAATTCTTTAAGGTTCTAAGGACTGAGATGAAATGAAGTAAATTAAAAAGTTATCAGTGACATTAGCTTTGAAAAAAAAAAGTTTGCTCTGTAGAAGCCTCAATGACATATTTAAAATTACATGTCACTGTGATGATATTTCAATAGAAATTTTTTTAATTTCCATTAGGTTATTTCATAGCATGTCAGTTCAGACTTCATACTGCTATCACGACAACTCGATGAGTTCTAATAATTGACAGAATAAAGGAGGACTGAAACACTAGCTTAAATCTACCTACTTTGTCTGCCTGTGAAATGGAAAGGACTGTGAATCAGAGGTATTAGATTTGATGCTACGGCCCAAACTGCTGCATTTTGTGCTTTGTTTTAGGTGTGGTTCTGGAACTAGAGTGATAAATCAAAACTACATTTGAATATCAAGAAGGTGGAGGTAAATGGTGTTGTAGCTCAGTTGTGCACACCCAAAAATTTGGTAATTACAATACTGCCTTTTACGTTTGTTTCTTATTCTCTGCTAATATCATGATAGTAAGTAGTTTTCTCCTAAAATATTTTTTCCTACAATGTTTCTCAAGATGACAGCCTATGGCATTTCAATCATGACATTTCAAATCCTTGCCTGTCAAGCACTTAAAAAATATCTAGGATTACAAAAAATAAAAATATCCTCCCCCCGCCCCCCAAAAAGAAGACACTCTTGTATTTTGTTTCTGTAGCTTTGCAAAAGATGAAGTTTCAAACCAGAAATCCATCCTATATTTATTAAAGTACTTCTAGTAAAGTCTACAATCTTCCATTAACATATCTGCCCATAAAATGAGTCCTAAAGACTAATGGCAGATTATATTCCATTTATCCTTCCACGTTTAATAGATATACCAAGATCTAATCAGCAATACAGAAGCCAGAGATGACATCCCTTCATTTCAGCTACCTGCTAGGATGAAGAGAACATGCAATATATCTTTTCTTATTCTTCATAAAGAATCATCTAGTTCTCAAGGACGTTAAATCCATTTTCTGGCATTGCCTCTTTAGACTGGTGAAGAAAGGCTGGATTGTTTGGTTTTTTTTTAAATTTATGCAAGTGTAGTCTAACCTTATGATTACCACTTGAGTATTAATCTTTCTCTTCTTACTCTGTTTTTACCAAACACAAAGGAATATTTCACTATTTTCTTTATAAAATCCATTTTGCATGTTTGTAAGGCTCTTTTCTTCACAAATCTGAAAGCTTTATTCTTCCTTTGGGTTGACTCTTCTCTCATAACAGCTTACACTTGACAATGTCTTACAAACCAGATTTACTTGTCTTGTATTTCCCTCCTCATGTTAACAAGAGATGAGAAAAAAACTAAGATACTAGAACTAAGATATAACAAAGAGGAAGATTTGGGAAAGTTGTGTAACAAATATTTGATCTTTGAGAACGACTGATTTACTCAACTCAAAGGGAATAGTGCAAGACCTTACTTTTTTGAATCGTGGAACCCTGAAAAGAACACCCAGGCCCCTCCCCACCCACCCCATTTTGTCATTGCTGTCTTCAACACTAAATTGCTTTCCATTTTTCTTATAATGAGGCCACCTTAAAATGTGAAAGTTCAGATAGGAATGGTACAAAGGCAAAGTAGTAAGTACTGATAACTGGAATTTCATATCTCTCTCTTCAAATTATTATTAAAAGATTCACTGATCTACTGTAACAGGCAAAGGTCCCTTCTCAGAAATGTGTGTGACTGCTTGGGGTAGCTGCTGGTTGGTTGATGTTCAGCTTTTGTGCATACCTAACTAGGATTTTGTTTTAGAAATAATTCTAAAAGAGCATGAAGAAAATAGTATGAAGGCTTAAATGGAAAACAAACCAAACCAAACCCCAAAACATTACATAAGCACAATAAACCCATTTTGATTCAAGTATCAGTCCCTATGAATTAAAACACTGTTTTTCCAGTAATTGCACCACCTTGCCGTTTGGGGATTTGAATTCCATATATGTGCATGTTTGCATTTGTGTGTGTGCCTGAGAGGGATAAAACCCAAAATGAAGAGAAACTCCCTTTTGCTCGCTAGCTGTTCTGGAGCTTGGCAGGCTGTCACTCATGCTGGCTACAGGAAGTTATAAGCCTGTTGAAGGAAGTTTAAGTTTATATAATGCATCCCTCAAATGTCTCGAGGAACATATTTTTCATCATCAGAAAAAACCTACTTTGACTCTTCAGGCTAAAAATAAAATTAATAATAAAATAATTTTTAAAAGTGAGGAAGCAGAAAGCAGCCATACTAATGTTGACACATTATGCTAATAAAGACCTGAAACACAGATAACCTTTAAAGCAGATTATAATCACTTTCCAAGACCACACACCGCTTTCTTCAGATTCTCACTCAAAGAGGACCTTTTATGATGTAAAGAATTTAAGCTGTGAGCAAGGATTACCATAATCTAATGGCTTCTTTTAATTGCCTGGACAGAAAGCATGAATTATCTCTACCTCCTGTTCTTTGAAAAACACCATACACTCATTAATAAACATACATTGCCTAATTCTACTTCAATTGTCTGAGTCGGAAAGTGGCCACAGAAGACTAAATAACATTCAGACTACTTCTAACAAATGTACTCAATATAGTATCTCCAATAACACACAGTAGCACGTGTTGACTAAGCAAAATATATGACTATGCAGCACTTAAGCAAAAAAGAGATTACCCTTTATACAAGTTTTGCATTGTAAGCATTTTAGAAATGAACTATAAATGATAACAAGTAAGTATTAGCACCAACATATGCAGATCTTTATTATACTCAGCTTGCAGCTTTAGAATTTAATTCTATCAAACCTTGTTCATAAAAAACCCCACATCTTTAAATTGAAAAAAAAAAAAAAACCAACAACAACACAGAAGACCAAACAGTGTTAAAACCACTGCTATAATAAGGTCATTTAAACATATTTCGAATGATAAAATTACAGAAGACTTTAAAATGTGATTAAACCCACCTTCTTCTTTTCAAGGCTCAGTTGTTCTATGTGTACTTAACCACGTGTGGCATAGAGATTTTGAGCATGGATAAATTGTTGTCTCCTCCAACACAAAAACTAAGAGCATTATATGCAGTGAACAGATTTAAAATAAAAGTGGAGGTGGTTTTTCAGGGAGGTGTGTAATTAAGCTATGGAACTCCTTGTTGTAGCATGTTGTGAAAACTTTACAAAGGTTAAAAGAGACTGAAATCCATCAAGGGTTACTGCATACAGAGACCTATTTGACTCAGAATATGTCTGATTCCCAAATTGTTAGAGGCTTGAAGAGTATCCCAGGTAAGTTTCTTTACAGGCCTGCGTTTCTCACACATTCTTCCCTAGATATTACCTTTCAGTCACTGCCAGAGACAGAATAAAATGTAAGATGAGTCTTAGATATGAACCAGCATAACCAGTTGAATATATTGTGACCGAAAAAACCTATTTAACTTGGGAATGCACGTGCTGCACCTCTACACTATTTTATTCTTTGATAATTTGGACATTATTTTTCTATTGTCTAAAACGATGAATCACAGTGAAGTACCTATTATAAATAGATTTTTTCCTGTTCAGCATGAATTTGTTTTGTTTTTTTTTTTCCCCTCTTTCCTTTTAAACTTTGTGTTTTGAGGATATTATTTGATTAATTATTTTAAGACCCTTTGTGCCATATCAGTTGGGCTTGCATGGGTTGCTCAAAATATGAATCCACAATTTGGAAGCTTGGAACACTGTCTGAATTGGAAAGAAATGGCATGTTGGAGATCAAGGTGATGGGGGACAGTGCAGAAGAAAGCACTTATGGAGTGGATCAGGAGAGCAGTGCAGTGGTAGTTGTATTATAGCCCAGAAGAAGATATAAAGAGACTCTATGCAAAGGTGGTTCTCCTTTGCATTCACGTTTTCTTCAAGCCAAATGATTTCTTAGACTGTTACTTCCTTCCAGTTGATACGATTAATTAGTTTTCCCTTCTTGACAATTCAAATGATGATCTTGGATTTTCAGTGTTGAGGAAGAGTTCAATTTCCTAGGCATATTTACCAGATCCAACATTTTCATATATGTGCTTTCATATACGTGTCAATTGCTTGAAACATAGCCATGGAAATTGGGCTGTCTCTCAGTGCTTTGTTCTTGATTACAGCCTGTCACTTTGTTATTCTGTTGTCTCAGAGGTAGTGCAAATTGTCCAGACTCATTTGTTTCATCAAACCCTTTATTGATGCATGGATGAATAATGGTGAGAGCTTTGAATGTTCTGTACAACTATTTTTCTTGTTCAATTCCATGTCAGAACATTTTTTCATCTTTTCCTTTACAGACCTACCTTGAAATTTCCACAAATTTTTCTGCACTTGGTGAGCATGCATCTTGCAATGGCATCACGTTCAGTGATTTTCCAACAGTACTGATCCACTTATTCTTACTCTGACTATCAGTAATCCATTTTCCAGGTGGAATATTTATATTTATTAATTTCTTTCATTTACAAGGAAAGAGCTACTCAGTACTTTCCAACAATGCAGGCAATGACTGAGAACAGCTACTACTACTACTATACAGTGTGATCTGTTTTTTTTCCAAGTGATGACGAATAGCACACCAGGCATATACGATAAAACATCATGTAGAGACCAATGTGAAAACTGCTTAGATTTTCAACTTTCTATGAGTATTGTCTTAACAAAGTAATATTAACTGTTTCTGCAGAAATATAATCAATCTGTTCTGTCAATAAGAAACATGTTAAAAAATGTAGTTATCTTTGTGATCCAACAATGAAACTTAAAAAAAGCAATGAAAGAGATTCTTGGATTGAAAGCTAGTAGTTATGTTCTAAAAAATCTGCCTCAGTGGAGAACAACACCGTGGTTCTGGATATTGTGTAAACTCTGACAGAAGTTAGGGCTTTGGTTTGGTAATGGTGCGAGTCTATCCTTGATCTTCTCTGTAGACAATCTGCTTCCTCAAACTATCAAATTTAAGTACAGAAGTTTCATAAGTATTAGGGGTTCTTGGAGAAGTCCTCTGGGGATGCAAAGTTCGTGGAGTGGTGTGTTAGGGCATGTAACTCCCTGGACCTCACAGAGAGAAGCAAAAGTTGATCATGTTGGAATCTGCTCTGGAGTCTTCTGCACAGCCAGTCTTAACTAACGCAATTTGCAAATTATTACATTTTTCACCATTTATGAACTCCAGCAGCAACAAAGTATGTAGAATAAATTGACAAAAGCTAGGTAATTCTGTGAGAAAAATGAAAAATGTCACTATATTCCAAAGGAGATACCCATTTACAGCTCCTGCCCATAAGTAGTAGTATAATATGAAGTTTATAGACTGCTCATATAAAGATTACCATTCAACAAGAACTGTATGAGCCAGGTACAGCTATCATATCAGGTAGGTATTATCATACACTGAAAGAGGACATATTAAGTGGGATGATTATTTCCTTTTGCTACATTTTTCAAAAATGTCAAGCTACCGTAATATATTCAACACCATTGGTATACTCACCACAGTTAGCTTCATCTGAGCCATCAGCACAATCTGGGTCTTCGTCACATACCCACAGTTTAGAAATGCAGTGTTTTGTTGTTTTACACTGGAAATGGTCTGGAGAACAACTGTTTTCAGCTTCAAATAAAAGGATTCCAAATTAAAATTAGAAATTTCTGCTAATATTCAAAATAGCTACTTTAAAGAAAAGAATATTAAAGACTCAAAATTTAGAAATTGGATAGATTAGCATCACTTACATAACATCTAAAAGAAAACAGCATTCAGGTTTATATTGTTTATGGTTTTGTCTTCCTTTTATATATTATTTTATATATAACAGTAAGGTCAAATGCATCTAATAAACAAAGCGTCTGTTGTGATATTCTTTTAACAACAGATAGACTTAACATTGATACAGTCAAACCACACTGGTAAAACACAGTCAGATTTTTTTTTTTCTCTAACTTCCTAAACCACCAGTTATCAATTCTAAAAGTCAGTTTGAAGGACTAAGGCATCTCTCAAAGCTTTGATTAGAAAGGTAATCAAAATTATGTACAATTTTGGTGAAATTCTGTGTTGAGTGTTAAAAGAGGCCATGAGTAAATGTTGAGAAGAATTTGAAAATTATTTCACTTCATCAGTTTAGCAGAATGACTTTTTGAATGAATCCTACAGCAAGATAAATATGAAAAGATTCAGCTAACCTTCATCTTACTCTTTCAGGATGCTTAAAGTTAAAGCTTATCTGCTTTAATTTTAGAACAGTTACTTTACCACAAAAAAGATCCTTGGTGCACTCACGTGGTTCTGGATTGACTCCCTCACAAGCATATATCACAGATCTTACTATTTCTTAAACTCATAACGGAGAGTATAGAGGCAAGATGAGTAAAGGACATATATCTGGCCTGCACTGTAAACAAGCTATTTGTGACCAGTGCATAAGGATGTCTTTAGAGACAAGCATATGTATGAGAACCTTCAAATTGTTCTAAACTAAATTGAACATAGGTGGAAAACAGTATGATCTATTCTCTGATAGTGTTTTCCCACACGAACGCTTGTCCCACGTTTACCTAGGGAACTCCGTAAGGTTTTTAACAAACTCCTATCCCTGTTGAAAAGCAATTTGCTCCTTGATACCATCATTCTTTTTTCTTGAGTTTGGCAAGATGAAAAATTTTAGATCTGTTAAAAGCTGGTGTATTATTTTGTTCAGTGTCACATTTCCATACATAAATTTACAGTGCTGGCATTAAAAAGCATTTAGACTTGGCTATGCTGCTAACGATACTTATAAAAAATAATACTGATTCTCAGCTAGGACACCTCACCAGGGGATTTCAAAGTGCTTTACAAGGAAGACCAGCATAATTACCTCCATTTTACATATGGAAAGCCTTAAGTATGAAATGTGACTTCTTCAAGGTCACTTGATATATAAAATGAAACAGTGGTAGAGCTGAAAAAAAAGGTCTGTGCCTTATGAATCCTAGTCCAGTGAAATTAGAATGAAATAGATAATCTCATCTGTTACCTGTCTTGTGACAGGAGCCCAAGTCGATATGAACTTTGTGGTAGATCTACTTAAAACCTCCCCTTTTCTTAACCTCCCCAAACTGAAGAGTTTTCAGAAGCCACAAGTGAGGTTTTATTAAAATATAAACTGGCACACTTAAGTTTCTTAAGAGAGAAGCTAATTAAGTCTAGGTAAGACAGAACAGAAATAAAAAAATGTATATAATTAACCTCCCCCACACCTCACTGTGTCTTTCCAGGTGAGTTAATGGCTGTTTCAGACAATTCAAAAGCTTGCTTTATGCCACAGCAGACTGTCCTATCCCCACTAATCCCTAGGAAGTTTTCAACTCCATCGCCGCTGATCCTGACCCCATCTCTCCCACAGTCCCTGAGCACGGCTGTGCTGCAGACTCCACTGCTCTGATTCAATTTCTGTCAGCTACACCTCAAGGTTTTGGGAACCTTCCATATACCATGTGCAGTTCTTTATAATGAAAAAAGCATTCTCCTATCTTTCCACAGGAGTTTACCTGACACCACTTAATCGGTTTTTAAAGAAACATAACATGCAAACCAACATATAATACTGCTTGTCAGAGGCCACAGCTCTGCTGAGCTGTTTGGAAGACGGCCATTAAACATGGCCATCAGTAAAGTCTTTGTATCCTTAGCAACCCTTCCCTTGGAGAGGGCCATGTTCTTTGCAGAAATGCAGCATGATGCAAACCTTGAGAAGGCTAATTCAGAAAATAGGAATAAGCACCTTAGATCAGCAGTAGATCTGAATAATTAATTGAGTGAAGGACAGAGATGTATTTCAAGACAGCACCATCATTTTAATTATGAAATTATCAAAGACACAAGCTATTCAATACAATTCCATTTCAAATTAAAAAATATTTTCTCTATATCTATGAAATATAGAGTGAAAATTAATTTGTGAAAAATAAGATATATTAAAATCTGAGTAAATGGAAATCAAGTTACATAGGCAAATCAATGGAGTCCCCAGAGGAAAGGGGACAGAAAAGGTAGAAAACTCCATCAAAGAAAAAGGATGTAGGAGCTATGGATCGACATCTTTTCCAGTGAAGGAAGCAGAAGAGTATCTTTTTCCATTGAAATGCGTTGCTGCAAGGCATGGCAGATGAAAGCCTCAGGAAGATGAGTCATTTGTGAGGTGGTTAAGAGTAAAATGGATGTTTCAACCCAAGTCAGAAACCCAATTAAATGCTTGAAATTAATTGTTTACACACCCCTCTTCTTTGCAATGACTTTAAAAAACATAGTTAATAAGTGACATTTTAGTTTGTTCTCTTGTATATGAAGCATTGTACATCAATCAACCCTGTGAATTAACTGGCTTGCACAATCCTCAAATTATTTTACATAGAGGGCATTTACAGTATTTTACATATTTTACTTCAGTTCCTTGTTTAAAACCAGCTACAGTCATCAGAGCAAAATTCTTTAAATATAACTTACGACAGTCTCTTTCATCTTCTTCATCACCACAGTCATCCTGTCCATTGCACCTCAGATTTATTGGAATACACTTCTGATTCTTTGTGCACTTGAACTGACCTGACAGACACACATGTGTGTCTTTAAGTTAAAAGAAAAAAAAAAATCAAGTTAAAAAGATTAAAAGTTAAAGATGAAAAGATTTAAAAACTTAAAAGGTAAAAGATTAATAATAGAGTTTCTTGACAGAATTTAAAGCATGGCATCTAAATCAATTTAGCATGTTTCTGAAGTCTACAATGTATATAATCACCTACCACAGTTCAGTTCATCAGAATTGTCCCCACAATCATTCTCTCCATCACAGATAAAGGCTGGAAGAGCACAAAGTCCAGTTCCACACTGAAAACGTCCTGGCTGACACCTGAATTCAGCTGAGAAAAAAGAAAACTGCTTATGAATACTATCAGAGGAACGGTTAAGGTATCAATGGCATTGTTCTTCCTCTATGGACTAATCAAAAGAACTTGTAAACCTTTGTATTTGCCTATATAATCTCAATCTGAATAGATATTAGTAACTAAAATGTACACATACAATTGCAAAATTAATTTCAAAGTCTGAGATTTTAAATTTGCATAACTATAGTTATACATTACTAATGATACAGAGCGCAACCCTCTACAGGTCGATGCTTACCATTAGCGCAACAGAGACGTGCAATTTAGGTTCTAAGCACTTGAGTTCAAGCGTGCATTTAAGAAACTCCCTATCGCACTCTAATTCTATTCCCTATGAAAGGTCTAACATTGTTCCCTCTCACAGCCACTGCCATTGGAGTGAATGAGCAATTATGCACCTCTACAGTAATATTTTATATAAACATAGTGTAGTTTAAAATGTAATCCTATGTAGAATGATTACACATGTTAAACCTTGCTTCAAAGGCTTCTGCAGCAGGGAAAGAAAACCAATTATAAAATTGTAAAAATCTGGGTGAGAGTTTTCAATTAAAAAAAAAAAAATCAAATTAACTGTTACTTAACTGTAAGATTGTAGAACACATCGTAGAGCATTTTGTGTATATAAGCTTAAGGGACAAAGCCAAGAATCTTTCGATTTTTGCACATTAATAGAATAGTATTAAAGCAGTCAGTGACTGAGACTGAAAAATAGCACCATCAACAGATACTACTGTTTGCAAATCCAGTACACAAGAAAGCTACTTTTCTAACAAGTAAACTTGCTGTCAGCTACCCTCACAGCAACCATCCTTTGGGATGCTGAACACATAATCATAATTGACTTCCAGCTGTATACAATTCAACAGGGGAATACTACAGTAACCTACTATTTGGACGATAGGAGGCTATCGAGAAATATGCTGTATCTGCACCACCTTCAGGATAGTGCGTCAAAGTTACACAGGACACATGAAAAATGTTCATTGCATAAAATTTTCCAAACTGGAGGGGTGAGATTTAGCTCTACAAACTTTCTTTTGACAGTATTTATAAAACTAGAAAATGAAAATAGTTATATCAAACACATTGTGAAAAATACACAGAATCTTAGTAGGAATCATATGGAGAACACCGCTGTTTAGAAAATTGCACTAAATAATAACGTGTAGCTAAACTTGTATAATTGCAATGAAACACAAGCAAATGGGATTAGAATTCTATATTTCTACTATTTACAAAAATAAACCAAATAAACCTGGCAGAATTTTGTATTTTTATATAAAAACCAGCAATCTCAGAACATAGCTTTAAAATAAAAATCCTTAGCAAAAACGTAGCTGGGATCAAGTAAAGGTTTAAAACATGAGAAACATTTTCCAGAGACCTTAAAATACCCTTTCCAGACATGAGTTAATGAAAATCTTTTACAGGCTGACAAACAAGAGCCTGCACCCTTTGTAAATTTGACAGAGACCAAGGAAAAGAAAACAGTGCTGCAAACAAAAAGTGTTCAAAAAAAATCCTCCTCCTAACATCTATAAAGCATTGTATTTGATTTGGACCCTACTGACAAAACTGGGTTTAATCGACAGTGTCACATTTCCACCAAAAGGGAATACATTTGTCAGTTTTGCAACGGAACTGTAAAAGGAAGGAAAGAAGGAAAAAAGTTTGATAGGAATATTTATTTATTTATTTTAAAACAGAAATAGTACAGTTTATGAAAAATTAGATTCATTGCTTAAGTCATTGTTCCATTAATCAACTCTGGCTGTTAATTTTATCAAACTTATTTTTTAAATAGTCTTTTTTTTGGGAGATGTTTTGCAGTGAGACTTCCATTGATGCAAATCACTGCAGTTTCAATGACATTGCTACCCTGACTTATCATGCCCTGAACCACTCTTGCATTTTGCTGCGTTCTATCATTTGATTCGTTTAAGATCTTATTCAAAACAACCACTTCAATTCTTAAACTGTCTTTGTAGGCTGCTGGAGCAGACTTAATAATTTTTCAAGATAAACCCAAACACCCACAGTTACAGAAAAGGGCCTTAACGTGCAGTTGTACTTTGTATACAGTACCGCTTATATTTTTTGAATTCAATGAGAAAACCAGAAGCTAGGCCTTCCCACCTTTCAAAAGGAAAAAAAATAGTTGTACTACAAAAAAAAATAATTCCTTTGTAGGACCTTGGCAGTGCCTTCACTCTGAGCTCAGGCAACATCGTACCTTTGTTCTGACTGAAAGAGGAATGCAAACACAACAAAGAGTAGAAATTACTTGATGCAATCCTCTAGGGCCAAACCTAAGATCAGAGTTCATTATGTGGCTGATGCTAGGGAGAAAAATCTGGACAGATTATCAGCAGCTTTCAAGAAATGTTGTGTTTCCCACGTGGTGTCTGTAAGAGCACAGAAAGGAAGGAAATGGACAGGTTTAGAAGTGCATGACATTTTATTTTCCGTGACTAGGCATATTTTTTTCATTTCTTCCCATTTTTAAATTCATTATTCAACAAAGCTGTACATAAAAGGTATATTAAATTTGGTGCATTAGCTCAGCTTTATTTTTTCTGCCAAGAAAATGTAGGGTTTCATGGCCATTTATGTAGTAGGACCTATAGCTGGAGCTACGTCATCCTTGTCCCACACTGAGGGACATGCTGCATAACAGACTGGGTTTGAAAGGCAGCTATTCTAAACTGCTAGACTGTTCCACAAAGGTATGAACTCAGGGTGGCTCAGCAGAAGGCCTCCAGATGTAGGGGATAAACAGAAACTCAGACAATTCTCATTCCCCGTATTTTCTGCTTGCTAGCACAGCCTTCCTGCTGCTTAATTGTTTTAAGGGGCCAGCCTCGTCTCTGCTCACCACAAGGGGCTTCAAGCTGTTAAAATGACATTATGAATTTAATTCCAGGAAATGGGTACTAACTCTTAGATGCTATTATGCTCTGTGTGAAAATGCTTGCACTCCCTTCTAAACTGGGGAGCCAGACACTTTGCAAAATCAGGGGTCAGAGTCGTATGGGTGTGCCTGGAATGGCCCGGAATGGCCTGAGATTTGGTGTTCTAGAGTCTGATGCGTTTTGTACTAAATTTCTCACATCAGATTAGCCATCAAAAGACAGCTTAAAGTTGATAGTTGTGCAAAACCAGCCTATCAGCCCTCCAACTCCTTGTCATCAGAAATAGCTAACAGTGGGTGTGCTGTCAAGAGCAACTACATCATAGGAACCACTGTGATTTTACAGCATCATCTGAAAATCTTAAGCACCCAAGTGTATTGTTGCCACTGATCTCTGCATCTGATGACATCAGATTGACGAATTATCAAACAGATTTCAAAATTGGAAGAAAATGACTAATAAACAGTGTCAACTTGTAACTGTCTGTCTGGACCAGGTTCTTCTGTTTAAGCCTGCTCTCCCTCCTATGGAATCCACAAGTGATGAAATATTGCTCCTGGAGGATCCAAGATGTGATGCTATCCTTCAATTCAGATTACCAATGAATTATTTAGGAAGGAATAGAGCCATTCAATCGACTGTTAGCATGTATTGACTGTGGAATAAGCTTCCAGTGCAATTTAAAGAAAACTTAAAACAAGAGAAATGAAAAAATGCTGGTTTTTTAACCAAACAAACTTGAGAAGCTAGATATGGGCGAAAAATAGGGAAGAAATTCCTCATTTTACAAGTGTTCTACACTTTCTTTTTGCTCATCACTTAACATTCTGAACAGAAAAGATACGATGAACATAGTAAAATCACACCAAGCACTACCTTAGGGGAACAGAGGAAGACAGTGGAAAGGCTTCTTAAATAACAATATTACTTGAATGAAACTGTACATCATTTATTAAGATGACCACTGTTCCCTAAAAATTAAGAGTAAAACTGTTTCCTTAATGAGTACAGACAAAATGCATCATGATGTAAAATGCTGTCAGAAGTCATTAGCATACATACAATAAAAGTGGACCACTAGAAAAGCTGGACTACTAGAAAGATTTTAAAGGCCTTATGTACTATTACAATCAACCAATTAATTGTCTGGGTAGAACAGTCCAAAGACTTCTATCGAAGTGATTCTCTTAAAAGAAAATTACTATGCTCTACTTAATCTACCTTATAAGAAAAAAAATCACCATCAAATATTTATTTCAAGTACTAGGAAATCCAACTCCCATAAAGAATTCAATGTTTTAATTGTTAATTAATTGCATATTCTACCATTTCCATTTCAGCTACTGAATTGTTTTTAACGTTACCCTATAGTTTACCTACGTAGCTACCTTGACTGAGCTTGTTTTCATGTATTAATGTAAAGTTTGTTCACGCATGAATACTCCCAAATCACTGTTATATACACTTTGTATCATTGTTGTATGCACTTTGTATTCTTATGTTTCATATTTTACACAAATGTTTTTTTTCAAAGCAATTTTTATGGGCTTAGTAGCTGTATTTGTTCTAGTGACTGGCAGAAACATCCACATTTGAAAGGGAACAAGTTCTGCATTGTCTGGAAAAAAGGCATTTGCAAGTCTATTTTCAACTAATAGCCTTGACGTTGAAACACTTCAAATGCACCCTTGAGTTACCTAAGTCTTCAGCTGCTTTGACTGATGCTTCCACATTTCATGGGCACCAGCTTTCATTATTTAAAAGCAGGTTGGAAACGCAGTAAAATATAATCCCCACTCCCCCTTGCCCCCTAGGTATGCACTTACCTGACTGGCAGTGCAATTCGATAAGCATGTCTTGTTATCCGCAGCAAGGTAAAAGTTGGTGGGACAGGCACAAGTATACATCTTGTCAGGGGCTAGAAGGCATAAATGACTGCAACCACCATTGTTTAGTGTACACAGGTGTTTAGACACTGTGGACAGAATAGGAAAAGAATATTAGAGCCTATTATTTCAGTATACTTCAGGGAATCTGCATTATAGAGGAAGAAAAATATATTACACATACTATTTTTACAATGGAACATCTCAAATCAAAAACCCATAAGAGGCAACCTTTTCCTTTCGCCTTTAAGCTATTCTCTGTTGTATATAGAGTTCATTATTACTATGGATGTAGATTCAATACTGAAAGAATGAGAGGAAGAAAAAAGCACTAGATTTTTTTTTTTTTTTATAATGAGACAAAAAATTAGCTTATCTAGGTCAAGTGCCAAATTGCATTCAGTTACAGTTCAAATATAGGCACATCAGGAGATCAGACACAATGGTAACGCCTACATTCTCTGACATTCCCTCAGTCCAACAAGTTTCTAAGTAATAACATTCTTCTGAATTATTAACACTCTCTTATTTTCAAAATAATAGGTTTTTTTCATAACACACCATTCCCATCACGATAACTGCTAACTTGGACTGTAATGCAGCTTAACAGTTCTAGACTTACAGTCACTATCTGGGTTAATTTTCAAGCACCCAAATTGGTATCTCGCCACTGAACAAGATATATCACATTTATTTCATACCAGATATATTTACAACATTAATGACAGATTTACGTTTAAAAATGCTACTTTGAAAATTCCACAATTTGAAACAAAACGGAAATAAAAATAAATCACTGCAGAGCTTCCATTAACTCAGCGACTGGCTACTAAGTGAAATACATCGACGTGCCATACAGAAAGCATAGACAGAATAATTACCATCAGGTTGCCTATAAGAATGATACACCTGGATGTCAGTTATGGTATGCCATGAGTTAATCAGCGATAGTCTGTCTGATCCAGAGGTTTTGTGGGCCCGACTGAGAGACTTGGTTTTCCCATCTGTCCAGTAGATGTAGTCTTCAAACAGTGTTAGTGCAATCACCCCTGGAATATCTTGATTGGGCACTGTAAGAAGAGATGCTAAGATTAATGTTCACTCTTGGAGGACTGCCAGTTAAAATATTCCATACCGCACGGGTTGACAGATACAACTGCTATATAATGTCTCGAGAATAATTGTCATGACAGTATGTCAAGCCTAGAGGGTTCTTTATTACCAGTTACGATAAAGATGGATGGTGTATGAGCTCTGCTTGCTTAGAATTAGTTGGCCCAATCAGTGTTAAGGAAATGAAAGAATATCACTTAGCAAAAATCACCTCCAGATTCTAAACCAATGACATGTCAAGCTTTAAAGTGGTACATAACATAATATATTAAACTATTCTTTACAGAAGGCCAATATTCATTTCCTCATTTTGAGGAATAAAAGTAATTAGAAACCATCCAAAATGTAAGGTACACATCTCCAGATGCACTGTGTTTAACACCCTTTAAGACAATTAATAGTATTTTATTTTAGCAAAACGTACTGAAAAGAGACATGGGGAAAAATAAAACAGCTTTGCATTAAAATAAACATAGCAGTAGGAGGGCTTATTGCTTATTCCTCACACAACCAACCACACAATTTTGAAATATAAATGAAGTGATGATAATACCCCATTGTTACAATATCACAAAATCATTAGCCAACATAATTTTAAAAAGGATGGAAGGAGAAAAGGGAGAAAAAGCTTTGGAGCGTTCTTTAACCTGCTGTATACTCTTTACTCTTGAACTATTTGTTCTTGGTAAACATAAACTGAACACTTTTTTTTTCTTTTAATGTATATAGCTGTAATCAGAAATGACACATAAGACTATCTGACCATAATGGTCAATTTGTAAATCACGATCATTTGTCCCTGAATCACTCTACTGACAGAGCTGAAAAGGCAGATCAGAGCAGCTGAGTCTGCCATTTTTAACCAGTATATCCTTTACCTTGTTTTCTTAGATGAAAATAGCTTCTTTTTTATTTACCTTGAATGTGCTTAAATAGAGTTGGCAAATTTCAAATTTCAGTTGGAACATTTCATAGTTCACTGACAACTGATGCCTGATACTGAGTATATGGAATGACAGCTTAGCAAATTCAATTTCATACACAACTGTCTCGCCGATAGTGAACTCCAGTGTAGGGGGTGTTCCCTTCTGGTCAAGGAAACCTTGCTTCTTAGACCTGAAATTATTTTCCCTTGTATGTTTACAAAGACTATAGCCATCATACCGACATAACAGTATTATATTCTTTTAAAGAGCTTCATAATATGTCTAAGAAATTAGTCAGAGTGCAAAGAAATCTTAATTTTGGCACTTATTACTTGAGCAACTTTGGCATGGTTTCTTACATAGTATATTACTCCCAAGAAAAGCTCTTATAATTTCCCTTATTTGTAGAATCATGTTGTGAAAAGGGCATCTACAAACTCGAAGTGAATCAATCCCTGTGGCGATTGTTGCTATCCTGTTCCTCTGAGCGAGGAAGGGGACAATTCTTGAAGTATCATTAATTTTAGTTTTGTCGCCAAAGTAACAAATCAAGTACAACAAAACAAGAACACAGAAACTATAAGTACAGGTATTTCCATTATATTTGTTTCTTTTTCCTCTTTTTCCGTACTTTCTCACCACTGGATTTATCAGAATAAATTTCAAATCAAACCTCCCTGCTAGAGCAGGGTTTGTCTGTCCACTGGAAGACCTAGATGTATTATTATCTAATTACATCAACTACTTGCATGTTAATTTTATCCTCACTCTGCTCTGGAGTGAACTTAATAATTCCCTTGGTGGGGAAAATAAGCTGTAGACTAGACAGTAGTACCCAGCTTCATCCTAGATGTGGTATGGAGTGGGGGGGCTCTCTAGTACCACAAACAGTGAAACGAACCCTGCACCAAGTCACAACTGAGCCTAAACTGTCAAATCCCAGGCATTACTTGGGTTTTTAATCTTCTTTTGCTTAACATGGCTGATTTTCCTTGAACCTACTTGAAAAATTGCTCTGCATAAATCTTTGATTATGATGACACTTTCAAGATGCAGCTGGACAAGGTGCTGGGCCATCTTGTCTAGACTGTGCTCTTTTTATCATAATACTGTTCCAGAAAAGGCATGTGTATCTAATTTTAATTTTAAAAGTGAATTATCTTTACAATGCTTTAGCATAAATATTATTTGGGAATACTAATTATTACATAATACGCTTACTACCAGATTAATTAAGGATGCACAGAGTTTACGCATTCACGTCATGCAGAAAAAGGAAATGATTATTCTGAATTATTTCAGAATTATTAGTTCATCAAAATCTGTGTACATGCATGCTCTGTAAGAGAAACACCTTTTGGTTTGAATCACTGTCTAATATTTCAGCAGATCCCTGAAAAACTGGACTCTCTCAGTCTTCCAATCTAGCCACTCTCCCAATTTTGTTACTTCATTGAATTTAAGTAAGTAATTTGCTTTACTGTGCCTTTATATTTACCATGGGATTTTGAGTACATCTGGGCACAATTCATTGTGCTATCTTTATATACAGAGACTTAGGTATATTAAACTCAGCACTTTTTACTTTAGGTAGATTATAAACATTTCCTATTGAAAGTTTTCTTGTAACTTCTAAGTCATATGAGTGTGCCACAGTACAAAAATTAAAAGACAAGCAGGAATTTTAGGTACATCTGCACAATGGCAAGAAATTCCCGACTGATCTTAAAGGGCAGTTGCTAATGAGAAATACAAACCAGGCTGACAGGAGAAGCAGGAAGGAACAGCAGAAAGAGAAACTGCTACTCTGAGTGAAACCCTGAAGCTATCCATAAAGCTATTTAATTTATTTTTGCTTGAGTTCTGGAAAAATATTTGTTCCTATAAATTATGACCCTTGCTGCTACTTTTGACATCAAATTAGAGATGTCAAAGGTACCACTCCAGTTTTTCTAAATAAAACAAATGTGCTTTTTTCTGTCTGTTTTATCTTATTCTGATCACAGTTAATATTAAAATCATAATAAATGGGCATGTAAAAGCCTTAGTGCACATGAAGAGGATTTACATAGGAAAATTATTTTGACTTCATTGTCTTTATCATTCCCCACCAATGAAAAACACATCTAGCGGTCATCCTCTTTTTGGCCATCCAGGAATTACAAGTAAACACCATATCCTGAGTACAGAGGTATGAGTAAATGCCTACTTTTGTTTCTGTGTATGTCTGTGGGTTGCCATACAATTTATCCTAGCTTTGGTGGATTACATATACATCAGAATCCAGATGAAACTTTGTTTTTGTGAACTAGAGAAGATTGAGGAGAGTAACACATAGTCCGAATTGTCTCATCACGCCTTATTAACAGAGAAGCTAAGTTAAATATGTGGTGTAAAATGTTAAATAATGCAGTTAGAGCAGTGTTTCAGAAAACTGTTCATTAACTCAAGTACATTTTTCTTTGTTTTTTTAAAGCCAAACCTGTACGCACCAGGTTTAAAAGCTCATATCTTCCAATTATCTTAAAACCAAAACAATATCAAATGCAATGTAATAAATATTATACTCTCTTCTTTATGTCCTTTAAAAGAAGCATGACAGAGTATACCTGCTTTTAAAACTGGATTTTCCATTATTACCACATATTGGAAAAAGTTGAAACTGTCAATGGTTAAGCACTTGCAGCTTGGGGTTGTAGTTTGTTCTGCCACTCTTTCTTATTTCTGAGTAACTCTAAGTTTAACGGGCTTCTGTGTTAAAGTCAACTTTTCCTTAAGTAATGTGCAACACGAACTTGGTGAAAATTCTTTCAGAAGCTCGCACCATTTATACCTGTAAAACGTATATGTATTCTGTTGTGAACTCAGAGGAAGTTAAAAAAAAAAAAAATCAATCAAGGAAGCAATTAATGGACTCTTAAATAAAATATTACAAATAAATGCAAATAAAAATCTGTGTAAAGTAAATCACATAGAAAATAAGTATAGTATCACTGGATACAAATATTTCTAATAAAAAGTCTAAGCTGACCATAAAAATATAACAATTCTTATAAAATAAGAATTAATAATTACCTAATATAAAAACTCTTATAAAAATTCTCCTAAGCTGACCATAAAACTCAATATATTTTCTTGCATTTGATACAGCTGTAAAGACTGAGAGAAGTTTCTGAAAACAGGCATTCAATGGCAGCTAATTCCAATTTACTTTACTGTTTAAGGAACAGTTCTATCATAGCTGAATATTATTTTTCTTTAACTTTAGTATATTATAAACAATGGAACATCAGAATGTTTGACATGTAATAGGCTATAAAATCTACAGTTCACATCAACTATGAATAAGCAAAAAAAAATGAACACAAAACTGTGAGGGAACTTTTCCATCTTATTTTGTGAAGGAACAGTAAAACAGTCTATCACGCTCTTTATTCTTTGCCGTTGAGGACATCAGTGTTTCAAGCTTTCCAAAATTTCAGGCGGTGGCAGCCACTGATTTATCATCAATGTACGTAGTAGAAGAAAAACCCATTTTCTTTCTTCAGCCTTCCCTTTAACTTCAAGAAAACCTTAGCTGCATTACTGATCTACCTCTTCATAGATGACATACATTAGTTATATATTGCAATACTAATTACTAACTTCACCGCATACATTATGGTATGAATCACAGTTTTAAAAAAACAGTTAATCAAGATGTCCACTTGACAATCCATTAGTAAGAAAGTAATATATTCTGTTAAACACAAAAATTACATTACACCAACATAAGGGTCAGATCTCAACCAGCAAATTCAGGGAGAATTTCAATAGTCATACTTTAACAGAGAACCATGAGAATTGCGCTCAGTATTAATTTCTAG